AGCTGTGTTCTGTTGTTGTTCTTTATGTCCTCTTTTACCACTTCAGGTTTTGAGGGAGATATAAGGTCCTGCTTCGTGCTTTTCTGGTTGCTTTGACCATAGACACATCGTGAAGCTGAAGTTTCTCTAATGTTATCATCCCATCTTGTTCCTGCTCTACATCGCTCTCCTCTTTTGATATATCCCTTGTGTGGTATAACATTCACTCCAAGTGGGCAGACAATTTAATTTGCTGTCTTTATATGTAATTTAGAATTTGTTCTGTGCCTACTTTATTTCGTTTGACCTCATTCCTGATTTTATCTCCGCTGGTCACTTCTACAGCCTTTCTCAGACACTTAATTTCCATGATTACTAATTTTCTGTTGTTTTGTTGTGAGTGACCATGTCTGTCACTGAAAGCATAGGGTCCTGTTAGTGTCAGTAAAGCACCCTTCTGCAAGCTTTCAGGCGTATTGTGTATATAGGGCTAAAACAATATTCTATAGATTATTTGGCACATGGTGGGCTATGTGGTCAACATAACACTGGCAGAGCTTACTTCCCTGGACTTACCCGTTATTCATTTTGAGGCTGGGACCCGTTACTCATTTTGAGGCTGGGACCTGTTACTCATTTTGAGGCTGGGACCTGTTACTCATTTTGAGGCTGGGACCTGTTACTCATTTTGAGGCTGGGACCTGTTACTCATTTTGAGGCTGGGACTTGTTACTCATTACGAGGCTGGGTCGACCAGGCAGCCAAGGTCATGTCTGGAAAAAAAAAGTCTGGCTCCGTCAGGACTGAACCCATGACCTTCGATGCGCTAGCAAGCATCTAGCTGCTCCACCATGTGGCTCCCTGCTGTTAGTTTACTGAAATAAAACGTGTCAAGAGTTAGTTTCCTGGTAATGAAGTATAAATAAGCCACATCTACAAAATGGATGTGTGTAAGTTTCCTGGTAATGAAGTATAAATAAGCCACATCAATAAAATTGATGTACATGCAAAACTCAGGTTCTTCTCAAAGTCCAAGAGTGGATAACAACCAGAGATTGTTGTCGCTTATATCGGTGAATGCAGTAGTACGAGAGTTCTACCAGAGAGATTTGGGCTTGAACCACATAATGTTCTCATAGGAGAGTCGACACAGAGCAGCAGCCTCCATTGTGGAGATGGTTTTTTTCTTTTGCTCATCAAGAAGTGTCTTACCAACTGGCATGAGCAATCATGCCTCCCCACAGTCTGTGATCACGCCTCCCCACAATCTGTGATCACGCCTCCCCACAATCTGTGATCACGCCTCCCCACAATCTGTGATCACGCCTTCCCACAATCTGTTATCACGCCTCCCCACAATCTGTGATCTTGCCTCCCTAGAATCTGTGAACTTAACCCCCCCCCCCCCCCTCCCCCCTTCTCCCCCTAACAATCTGTGATCTTCTATAGCATGTATCAGTTCAAGTGCTGACATCTTTCCATGCCATAACAAAAAACTGTCCACAGAATCTTGTTGCATTGTCTTCCTGTCTCTTTGTGCACACAATTGTCTTGTGATCACATGTTGCAGTTTCCTTCTCATAATATCACCAGAACATTATGAATTGTCCTTCTATCTTTGCATGTCATGACAAAAGGCTGTTTGGCCATGTAACAAGACTGGCATCAGATAGGGCACCACGGAGAGCAATATTATGCAGATACAGCAGTAAGAGAGCCAGAGGTCGACCACGCAAAATATGGACCACACATATATCAGAGATGCTTGAAAGTACTATATATGAAGCGCACATAAGATACTGTTGCAGAGATCTCTCCTTACCATGACACCGCGAGGTATTCCAGGAGTAGAGAACGGAAGAAGAAGATGTCTTAGTCTCAGTCGAGGTTTCAACTTCACTACAATCGGGTTTTCCCATACTTGTTCCGTTCCTGTGCCGGTGCCGGTGCTTATCAAATGAAATGTCCTTCACTGTTGCATTTGAAAAACTGGTGAACAAACAATTAGTTCTGGAACAATCCAGAAATATGTGCACTCAGTTAATGCTTATTTTAGTTGCTAGAGGTGCCAGAAACGCACACTGTTGCTGATGGAAGTAGTCAGGCACGATAAGATGACTATGCACACGTAGAATCACCTCATCAGGTATGTCACCAGCTCACAGGTAAACCCGCTACCGGCCATATTGAATACCACAAAACAACTGCTGCATAAATAAAAGACATTCCTGAGAAAAAACACAGCTGAGAGCGCTGCACCAAGTACTCAACACAGTAGCTCAGGTAGCTTAACACTAGACTGCCACGTATGGGTGGAAACTGCATTAGCATAGCACTGTCAGAAGCAAAAATAATTATGAAGCTTAACATTTTACTATGCCTGTCCTTCAATTTGACCTGAAGTTTTGTTGTTCTGATCCATTTCATCCATGAACCATTTGATAACTGTAAGTAGACAAACCTCTCTACCTGTACCAGTAGCCCTTATAATTTACATGTTTCATTGCCTTGATGGGAATCCTTTTGTTTGTTCTGTGCCTTACAATGAAGGGTATTTGAGTTGTTTGTTCTTTAATTTCACATCAGCTGGTGTTTCAAGACAGACTTAAAACTTTTTTTGTGTGGGTTGCATGCTTTTAAATATTTTATAATTTTGGTGTGTGTGTGTGGTGGTTGCATGTCTCTGTGATAAATAGATTTATTTGTGTCATTATTTTCCTATTTAAATATCATGTCGTCCCCCTGTCAGACTCAGTTTTTTATTAATTTGAAGCCCCACCCTGGCTGTTGCCGGGGGCCCTAATATAACCTAACAGTTGAACCGAGTTTCCGGGACCTCTCCATGAGTGATCTTCATTTGCATGATGGCACTTTGTGTAACCGACAGTTTATCGCTTGTTGGATGTCCTGGTGGGGTTACAATTACTTGCTACTATTTCCCTATTTTTTTTTTTTTTTTTTGCTTCCCTTATTTTTACAGTATCATTTTACTGAGTTTGTTTAGGTAATACCTGAGGATCCAGCATTTTTTGAAAATATGAGGGTGACTGCAGTCATGCTAATGCAAGGAATTCCAGTGAGATGTCACTAAAAAGCCTTACGAAATGGGGAAGCAGAAAAACGTACACAAGCAAAAAAAATAAATATACTCTCCTCTTCGTTACATTTGTGTAGGTCACTTTCGAATACTCTCCTCTTCGTTACATTTGTGTAGGTCACTTTATGTTTGACAAAGGCTGTCGGCCGAAACGTTATTTGTTTTGTTTTGTGCACGTTTTTCTGCTTCATCATTTTGTTAAGCTTTTTAGTCACATCTCGCTGGAATACCTGAGGAGATTGCTGTAGATCAAATGGGATGAATTCAAGAGGGGGTGAAGAAATAAGAGAGATGTCTGGGCAACCACTGGTATCAACAGTTAAAGATAAAGAAGATGATGCAACATTGGAACATCCTGACAAGGGACAGTTAATCACCAAACAGGCAGTGAAATGGGAAATAAATCGATTAAGGTAATGTCACCCAAGAGAAACCCTAAGATGAGCAGTGCTAAGAGAGGCCAAAGGTGCTGGGTTGGGGTTTATCCATGATATTGAGGTGACCGCATGGGACAGAAAGGAATAGAGAAATCGACTGAGCCCTGCGTGACATAAAATGGCACACTAGGGCAGTCAGTGGATGAGTTTATATGTTGCTCTTTCCATTGATCTTTGCCTTTACTTTGTTGCTTTCTTTTACTTGCTGTTCTTTCATTGTCTCTTTTTCTCTCTAAAATGACACAACAATACAGTCAGTGAATGAATTTATATGTTGCTGTTTCCATTGATTTGTGCCTTTTCTTTGTTGCTTTCTTTTACTTGCTGTTTCTTTCATTGTCTCTCTCTCTCTCTTCCTCTCTAAAATGACACAACAATACAGTCAGTGAATGTATTTGTTTCTTGTTACATGGATCTTTGCCTTTACTTTGTTGCTTTCTTTTACTTGCTGTTTCTTTCATTGTTTCTCTCTCTCTCTCTCTCTCTCTCTCTCTCTCTCTCTCTCTCTCTCTCTCTCTCTCTCTCTCTCTCTCTCTCTAAAATGGCACAACCATATGGTCAATGAATGAATTTGTTTCTCTTTCAATTGATCTTTTTGCCTTTTCTTCATTGCTCTCTTTTACTTGCTGTTTCTTTCATTGCTCCTCTTTCCTCCTCCCCCCCCCCCCACCTTTTCTCTCTCTTTTTCTCTCTCTCAAGTTCTTTAAATAATAATGTTTGAAGTTTGTCTTTTTTAGCTGTAGTTGTATTTATCATCCTTCTATGTCCATTATCCTCTCTGGTTATAAAACTATATTTAAGAATTTCATTTTGTGTTCAGTCTATCACCACACCTCATATACTTTATACAGAATCACTACAGTGTATCACCACACCTCATATACTTTATACAGAATCACTTCAGTGTATCACCACACCTCATATACTTTATACAGAATCACTTCCGTGTATCACCACACCTCATATAGTTTATACAGAATCACTTCCGTGTATCACCACACCTCGTATACTTTATACAGAATCACTTCAGTGTATCACCACACCTCATATACTTTATACAGAATCACTTCCGTGTATCACCACACCTCGTATACTTTATACAGAATCACTTCCGTGTATCACTACACCTCATATACTTTATACAGAATCACTTCCGTGTATCACCACACCTCATATACTTTATACAGAATCACTTCAGTAGTTCACCCTGTGGGTTCCAGGGCTCCGATTTGGGGAACCCAAGAATAGACCCACTTCCTTGCCAAAAGCATGTCATAAGAGGCATTTAACTTGGAGCTTCCTTTACAGTTAGAGTAAATCTGCCTGAGAGGCAAGAATGAACAGTCTGCAGATAAATGTGAAATCGATGTGCATGCTATAACAGAACTTTCCACAGGAGTTTGAAGCCAGTGCGCACAAAGAAAACTTTAGTAATAAATATTTAGATTCAGATTGTATAATTTTTGCTATGCTGTTACTTTACTCAGAAACAAGATGGAAGCACGAAGAAAGAGATAACAGTTTTGGAGACGAAGCGCTCGAATGCCATCAACATTGGTCTTACAGTGCTGCCCCCTGCCAGAACTATTAAAGCAGCAATTCTCAAGATGGATAACTCCATCATGAACAAGGAAGGAATTGAAGTGAGGTTTCATTGATTTTTTTTTTTTTTAATTTAAATTTAAATTGAATAAATTTGTTTTTAAACTGTCAAAGGATTTCATTTTGAAAAATAAATAGACCAACTTTTCTGCAGCAAGAATGTAAAATTTGACATATTCAAGGTTTGCTGAAGTTAGATGATTGGTCTCAAAGCACAGCCGTTATATTCTTGACTTTAAACAATATGTCATCCTCTCTTTCAAGGACAAATACTTAGTAAGAGAAGCAAAACAATTTTCTTTACATCAATGGCATGGTTGTATTTATTATTATGTGCCATGCCATGGCGATAACAGTAAGCTAGTATATGTTGCCATCTCAATCACTACCTTAACTCTTTGAGTCCCAAGGAACACATCATATGTTCATAGATTCCTACCTTAGAAGCCCAATAAATGCAAGATGTGTTGTTTTTACTTCTCTCTTGACCACCCTTTGGGCCTGTGATGCTAAACCCCCTGGGACTCAAAGATTTAATCACATCAAAAAAATGTTGAGAAATATTTTCCAGACAGAGCTATAAATGCCTGTAGTCACCATCTGTCACAGAGATCAGTGCAAGGGAGGGCAATCTGATGTAATGACCCTAAAGGCTTCAGAATGCTGAAGGAGCAGTCACATGTGTGTATTTATGCATGATATTCATTGGCACAGGAAAGTAGTGATTATGGGGTGACACATTTATAGTGTAGGTAAAAACTTGACTACTAACTACTGACACATTTGTATCTGTCTTTTACATAGCACAAACCTGCCAGTGTGTTTAATACCTTGTTAAGAGACTATCATCTAATCCACTGGTTCTCAACCCTCCTAATACCATAATTCTTTAATACAGTTTCCTCATGTTGTGGCGACCCACAGTTATTTTCTTTAATAATTTCAATGAATGTGTTTTTAAATGGTTTTAGGTGACCTTGTGAAAGGGTTGTTCGACCCAAAAAAGACGACACGACCTTCAGGTTGAGAACCACTGATCTAATCTATTTCTCACATGATATTGTAAAGAAAATTCACTTGATCGTTCCTATAAAGAACTGTTCAAGTTGTCCAGAGAAAGCCATAATAGTAGTGGTTCTGAATGATTCCTCAGAAAATCTTGACAACAATGGTTCCTTCCTCAGAATAACTTGACAACAATGTTTCCTTCCTGAGAAAATCTTGACAACAATGATTCCTTCCTCAGAAAATCTTGACAGCAAGGATTCCTTCCTGAGAAAATCTTGACAACAATGATTCCTTCCTCAGAAAATCTTGACAACAGTGATTCCTTCCTCAGAAAATCTTGACAACAGTGATTCCTTCTTCAGAAAATCTTGATAACAGTGATTCCTTCTTCAGAAAATCTTGACAACAGTGATTCCTTCTTCAGAAAATCTTGGTAACAGTGATTCCTTCTTCAGAAAATCATGACAAAAATGATTCCTTCCTCAGAAAATCTTGACAACAATGATTCCTTCCTCCGAAAATCTTGACAACAATGATTCCTTCCTCAGAAAAATAACAACAATGATTCCTTCCTCAGAAAATCTTGACAACAATGATTCCTTCCTGAGAAAATCTTGACAACAATGATTCCTTCCTCAGAAAATTTTGACAACAATGATTCCTTCCTCAGAAAATCTTGACAACAATGATTCCTTCCTCCGAAAATCTTGACAATAGTGATTCCTTCCTCAGAAAATCTTGACAACAATGATTCCTTCCTGAGAAAATTAACAACAACGATTCCTTCCTCAGAAAATCTTGACAACAATGATTCCTTCAGAAGAAGAGAAAGCTAAAATTATAGAGGCACAGATGGCTAATCCAGATATTCCCCTTGGCACGGCAGAGCAGTTCCTTCTGACTCTGTCTTCAATCTTTGAGTTGGAAGCCCGACTGAAACTCTGGCTTTTTAAGCTAGATTATGAATTGACAGAACAGGTGTGTACTATGGTTTTACATATGGTTTGTTTTGTTTTTACATCAGTTTGTTTCTGCATATGATTTGTCTGCTTTAGGTAAGTTTTTTAAATGTCTGCATGTATGATCAGTGTTTACTTTTATCCATGTGTAATCAAGTTTGTTTTCTTCTAGCTTTACATAATTTATCTGGTTTTACATGTTTTGTGTGTGTGTCTGTGTGCGTGCGGGTGCATGCGTCCTTGTCTGGGGGTCTTACATGAGTTTTGTAATGTTATTTGATTTGTTAAATGATCTTATGGCAGTACCACGACCGGCTGCAGCTGACGGGCTGTGCTGCTGCTGACTTTACCTCATTGCGCTAATGATGTAATAACTCAGCGGTGCTAAGGGACCTGGGGTGTCATGAGCGAATGCCAGGGGTGCCGCGGCAATAATCAAGAAAAGTTGGCTAAAATGTGTGAAATTATTAAAGAAAGCATGTAGATACTTAAATGTTAAAATGTAAGTTTTCGTTCCTCGCTACTGTCGAAAATAGTTTATTTCCTGTTTTAGAACCACTGCGTTAACGCAGGGCTAGCTGGCCCGGTGACATCAGCAGCACGGCCCATCAGCTGGAGCTGGTCCTGGCAAAACAGTGGCTAAAACTGTTGTCCAGGCAGACCATGTGATATCCTGTTTTAATCCCGATTTTGGCAGAAATATACAAACCCAAACTTAGCAAAGTTTATGGATAAGTGCAACAAAACCTGGCATATGACACCACATCTAGTTTAAGAATGGAGGGGGAGGCAGTCACTGCACCTTTTCACTGGCTTAAGAATTAGCTGTAGGCACATGTCGTACCTGAAAAACGACTCACAGAGCATGTTGAAGAAGGTGGAGACCGGTATGCTCCGTGAAGAGAAGCAACTCTTCAGAGGTTCCAGTAGTAACACCCTTTAGATATCTTGTCCTGGGTGTACCAGTGTGTTAGGAAATGAACAGACAGACAGACTGGCTGGTTCTGCACAGCTTGGTGGTGAGTTTGTGCCCTTTGGGGGCAATGAACACTGTGGTAGCACAGATGAATCATCATGGTCTGAAGGGAAGGGTACTATGAGGGGTCTTCTTCACATTCACCAGCTGGAAACTCCTGTGGAAAGTTCTGGTTGTTCATCCACTTCTGGACTCCAGTCCTGTTCTATAACTTAGTGTTGCATGTATATCCGTGTCACAGGCTGACTCATTTGCATGCAGACTGTTGGTTCTCTACCTCTTAGGCAGATGAACTCCAACTTTGACCAGAGGATCTGGATGACGATCAGCACACAAGTGAAAGGTGAAACGAAAAAAGTCAGGCTGCTATTGGTAACACTGGAGTTTGAAACTCTGTGCTTGCTGCTGAACATGGGAATGAAACACGTATGGGAATGTCCTGAGTATAACTAAACCCCTTTGGGACAGTGATATCCCTAGGGCAGCTGTTCTCAAACTGTGAGTCGTGATCCTTTTATGAGTCCAACACTTTCACAGGGATGGCCTACGACCATAGGAAAACATATATTTACTGAAGTTATGCAATTTTATTGTTGGGGGATGCCACAGCATGAGGAACTGTATTAAAGGGTTGCTAATTTAGGAAGGTTGAGAACCACTGTGCTTGGGTATACGATATAAATGATGAAAGGTTTAGAAAACAGTTTGAACTTGTGGCTAAAATGTAGTATCATCATTGTTTGAGTATCGTCATTGTTTGAGTATCATCATTGTTTGAGTATCATCATTGTTTGAGTATCATCATTGTTTGAGTATCATCATTGTTTGAGAAGTATGAATCCTTCTATGATAATTCTTATCTTTTATTGCAGGAAGTTGCAGAACCTCTGATGGATCTCAAGAAAGGAATCGTTGAACTCCGCAGAAACAAGACTTTCAAGTGTATTCTGTCTGCTATTTTGACCATTGGCAATTTCCTCAACGGAGCAGCAGTAAGGACAGTCTTGTTACTACATTTATGGTGACTGCATATTAGTACTTGTACACTGGACACTAGTACTGGCACAGTACTTACAGGTTGGCTGGATCCGCTATCACTACCGACGGTCGGCCTATGGATCATGCTGATATTATCAATGCCCTCAGAGAAATAAGAAGGATAGAGGACTTTGGTGGCAGTGAATCCACATCACACGCCAGAATGGCAGACTTGGGAATTAAGATCGGTACAGCAAAAAACGAGACGCACACCAGCTACGCCAGAAGACTTGTTAATCAACATAGAACTGGTACTATTAGCCATCGGACGTTGGGGTTCATGCTGAGGGGAGGATCTGAGCACCTATGGACATGTCCGGAGTGCAATGAGGATAACCCAACTAACTAACTAACTAACTAACTGGCACAGTGAACACTAGTACTGGCACAGTGAACACTAGTACTGGCACACTGGACACTAGTACTGGCACATGGCACACTAGAGAATGAATCTTTTAAGGACATTTCAGGTCAGAAAATGAATCTATTAAGGACATTTGAGGTCACAGAATGAATCTATTAAGGACATTGCAGGTCAGAAAATGAATCTTTTAACTCTTTGAGTCCCAGAGGGTTTAGCATCACAGGCCCAAGGGGTAGTCAAGAGAGACGTAAAATCGGCGCATCATGCGTTCATTGGGCTTCTAGGCAGTGACCTATGAACGTATGATGCGTTTCTTGGGACTCAAAGAGTTAAGGACATTACAGGTCAGAGAATAATCTTTTAAGGACATTACAGGTCAGAGAATAAATCTTTTAAGGACATTACAGGTCAGAGAATTCATCTTTTAAGGACATTACAGGTCAGAGAATTCATCTTTTAATGACATTACAGGTCCGAGAATTCATCTTTTAAGGACTTTACAGGTCAGAGAATTAATCTTTTAAGGACATTACAGGTTAGAGAACTAATTTTTTAAGGACATTACAGGTTAGAGAATTCATCTTTGAGGACATTACAGGTCAGAGAATGAATTTTCAGAGCCATTAGTGATGATAGTCCTCCATGGCACCCACCATCTTACATCATTGGGCCTTTCTGTTGGGCTGACTTATCTACTGTGGACAATTCCAGTCAGTTTTCTTCAATACCAATAAAGAAAATGACCTTTTTTCACACCTTCAGATGTATTGTGCATATTGGGCTAGACTATATGTAAAGACCAGTCAGCACCTGGTGGGTCATGTTGTCAGTATTACATTGACTGTTATTACATCTCAGAAGTTTAACTTGTACCATGGGAGGCTGGGTCAACCCGGGAGCCTAGGTATTTTATATTTAAAAAAAAGAAAAAGTTTATGCCTATTTGGATTTGAATTCACAACCTTAGAATCTGCAGGCAAGTGTCTAGCCACTAAACCACAGCGGCTGAAGTTTTCTCTAGTGCCACAGGTGGCACTTAACAGAAAAGAAAAGAACACACTTTCTTTTCGTTGCATATTATTGACTTCTGTCTTTAGCCTTTTCTCACGCTATTGATAATGGTTATGACTGGCTCTCTGAGGTATTCTAAACACTTGCCAGAAAAATAGAATGACTACTTTCTGGCTCTTCCTAATGTGTTCTTTCACACTCAAGATTAACAGAACAGATTTAGCATAAAATGTCAGAGACTTCATTTCTGGCATTTCGATGAAAGTAACTTATTACATGTGCAAATGAATTATTACACAGTAAAATAACATGTGTGATTACTCTCCCCTGCCTCCACAGGTCCATGCCTTCAATGTAGAATTTCTACAGCGTCTGCCAGAAATCAAGGACACGGTTCGCAAGCAGTCCCTATTGCATCATCTATGTACACTGATCATAGAGCAGTTTCCGGACACCACAGATCTCTACTCTGAGATTGGACCCATCACCAGATGTTCTAGGGTAAGCCATGCTCATGTGTGTGTGTGTGTGTGTGTGTTTGCGCTAGCGTAGTTGGCTAAACCTGACTTTGCAACGACCGGGTGACGAACTCCATGTGGTCCAGGTTCACGCCTGGGGGTAGGCAGAAAAGCCACATTTCTGCCATATTTGTCATGGAATCAAGGCCGAAGGGTTGCAATATCCATAATACCGAGTCAGAGGGTAAAGAACTCCGGGTTTCTGGATATTAAAAATATATATATATTTGTGTATTATGTGTATGTTTGTGAGGGTATGTATATATTTGTATTCATGTTTGAGTTTGTGGGTGTGTTTATGTTTGTGAATGTGTGTGTATGTGTTGAGGTGTTTGAATGTGTTTATGTGTATGTGTGTGTGTGTGTTTATGTATATGTATATATGGTATGTTGTATTTGTGTGTGTGTGTGCATGTTGTGTTTGTGTGTATGTATACATATGTAGTTATGTGTGTGTTTGTATGTGTATTTCATTGAGCAGCTGACCGAGTGTTCAGAGTCGTGGTCTGTTATGTGGTAGATCTAGTCCATGTATTTGGTATCAGACTTGGTTCTTTGGTTCATGAATGCAGTTTTGGAGATCCCTGATGGTTATCGCTGGAGCTACAGAGATTTGTGGTTTTTGTGATAGTCTATGCTGGTGACCATCCACTTTGCAGAGACATCGAATCATTTGAAATGTCCGGTTCCATTTAGTTGCCTATGCAGTTCCAGGACTTTGTGTTCTTCAACTTTTTAACACCTGTGGACCAGGAAGAATTGTTTTACATACTTCTTGACAGATTGCATTAAACAGATAGCATTTTATTTATCAAATCGCAAGTCACAAACTTGAAATGTTTTGCTAATACCACATTTGCTGCTGCTTAAATAAAGCCTACACAATGTGTATATCATTGTGACAGAATCATGTAGATACTATTTGATTGCACAACTGACAGCATTAAACAGATGTAGATAGCATTTTATTTGTCAAATCGCGTGTCACAAACTTAACATTTTCAGCTAATGCCACATTTGCTGCTGGTCAAAGCTTACACAATGTATATACACCATCGTGCCAGAATGATGTAGCTACCACTTGATTGCACATACATTTTTGGCAACCACCAGATGATTTCCACAGACTACAAGTTGAAGAACACTGGCTTAACAGAATGCATAAACAAAGAACCCTCAGTAATAGGGCGTGATGTGTTAAACTTAAAATAAGCAGTCACACTGTCTTTGGCCAGTAGTGCATTTGTCGTGACCTGTGCCCTAGTTGTTACAGATGCAGTAATTCCGAGGTGCCATGTTCATTCCTAGCTGCATGTGGCATGCACATCAACAGCCCCAGAGAGCTGTGTGGCATGCACATAAACAGCCCCAGAGAGCAACATCAACAGCCTCAGAGAGCTGCATGTGGCATGCACATCAACAGCTCCAGAGAGCAACATCAACAGCCTCAGAAAGCTGCGGGGAATGCACATCAACAGCCCCAGAGAGCAACATCAACAGCCTCAGAAAGCTGCGTGGCATGCACATCAACAGCCCCAGAGAGCAACATCAACAGCCTCAGAAAGCTGCGGGGCATGCACATCAACAGCCCCAGAGAGCTGCGTGGCATGCACATCAACAGCCCCAGAGAGCTGCGTGGCATGCACATCAACAGCCTCAGAGAGCTGCATGGCATGCACATTAACAGCCCCAGAGAGCTGCGTGGCATGCACATCAACAGCCCCAGAGAGCTACATCAACAGCCTCAGAAAGCTGCGGGGCATGCACATCAACAGCTCCAGAGAGCAACATCAACAGCCTCAGAGAGCTGCGGGGCATGCACATCAACAGCTCCAGAGAGCAACATCAACAGCCTCAGAAAGCTGAGGGGCATGCACATCAACAGCCTCAGAAAGCTGCAGGGCATGCACATCAACAGCCCCAGAGAGCTGCGTGGCATGCACATCAACAGCCCCAGAGAGCTGCGTGGCATGCACATCAACAGCCCCAGAGAGCTGTGTGGCATGCACATCAACAGCCCCAGAGAGCTGCGTGGCATGCACATCAACAGCCCCAGAGAGCTACATCAACAGCCTCAGAAAGCTGCGGGGCATGCACATCAACAGCTCCAGAGAGCAACATCAACAGCCTCAGAGAGCTGCGTGGCATGCACATCAACAGCCCCAGAGAGCAACATCAACAGCCTCAGAACTCCCCAGAGTGCCAGCTATGTAACTACCCCTACGAAACTGTTGAACACCATCTCTTTGAGTGCCCAAAACTCAGTGAGACAAGAAGAACGCTACTCCCTCCGAGACCAGACAAGTGGAACACCTTGTACGGAGGAAAAGAACAGCTTGTGAAAACATGCAAATTCCACTACATGGCATTGGGCCAAAGGGCGAAAGCTCATGCGCCGCTGGATCGATAACAACAACAACAACAGCCTCAGAAAGCTGCGGGGCATGCACATCAACAGCTCCAGAGAGCAACATCAACAGCCTCAGAGAGCTGCGTGGCATGCACATCAACAGCCCCAGAGAGCTACATCAACAGCCTCAGAAACTGCAGGGCATGCACATCAACAGCCCCAGAGAGCTGCGTGGCATGCACATCAACAGCCCCAGAGAGCTGTGTGGCATGCACATCAACAGCCCCAGAGAGCTGCGTGGCATGCACATCAACAGCCCCAGAGAGCTACATCAACAGCCCCAGAGAGCTGCGTGGCATGCACATCAACAGCCCCAGAGAGCTGCGTGGCATGCACATTAACAGCCCCAGAGAGCTGCGTGGCATGCACATTAACAGCCGCAGAGAGCTGCATGGCAAGGTCAAGCAGCTTATTGCTAGGAATAAAATCCATCTATAAAATGGTAAACAATGCCCATGGCGTCTGTGAAGGAGTTTCCACTAAAGATAACATTGAGAATAGTCAATGACTGCACACTAAGGAAACAATAAATCAACCGTGGTAATGACACAATGTTACATTATCTAATTATTCATTGTACAGTTTCTGTCATAATGAGGAATGTTGAATTAAGAATCAACAACACAGCACTCGGGACACCCCCATAAGCATTCTGTCCCCATCTTCAGCAGGAAGGGAAGAGATAAAATTCCAATGGTACGTCATAATGACAGCCCAAATTTAAGCAAAATGTGAAAATAATGACACTTTGGTGTTATAAATAATTACAAGATGTATAAATCTAAAATAACAAATGTAAACTTTGAAAACTCAACACTTTTTATCCCAATTATAAACCCTGAGGGTTGAACAGGTTATTAGTGAAAAAAATACAAACTCAACAGGAAAGAACAAACATCAATTTTTAGACTTCGGACTGGACACTGTGGTCTTTGAGCACACCTGTACAGGATAGGCATAAAAGAATCTGCTGCCTGTGATTGTGGAGCAGAAAGACAGACCCCTGAGCACATACTGCCCTTACCTCTCCCAGCAAAGACTGTTGATCTGGCCCAGGGGATCCACATTGCGAGAGAAGCTATGGGTAACCGGTGGTGACCTTAAAAGCTCAATCCTATTTTTGACCCAGATGGGACTCAATGTTTAGGATGACTGATGTCAAATGCAGAAGAAGAAGAAAAAATGTGAAAAAAATTACTACCACATGTGATTTGGCAGCAAACTGCCTAATGCTGGTTGCAACAGTAATATCAAGAGAGGAATTTTCAAAAAGCGATGGCAAACTGCTGAACATAAAATTGCCTAGTTAAATCACAAACAGCCAAAAAGTGCTGCGAGTGGGTCTGCAATATCCTGAAAAGAAGACGCAACTCACTGAAGCGAGGGTCACACCGTGGAAGAAACTGAAACGTCACCATGTCACATTGTCAGAGTAGCAGTCGTAGGTTAGGCGTTGTGAGTCTGGCTCGTAATTTCAATGTATCGCGATCAAAACCCACTGCTGTCTGCGTGGATTTTTTATCATGATATGGGTCAGGTCGACCCAGCCTAAAATGGGTACCAGGATGTATGTCCTGGGAAAGTAACGATGGCCGGTGTAATGCTGACGACAATACCCACCTAGTGCCAATTGGTGTGTAAAAATATGGGTGCTCTTCCCATATGCCCGATGCGCCTAAAGACGTACAAAGGAATCGTTAGAAAAAAAAAAAGTAAAAAAAAATATTTTTGTTGAGTAAAAAAATCTAGCAATGATGGCACTCTGTAGTCGATCATCATTGAGGAGACAGCAGAGAATTTTGTTTTAGTTATGACCCTCTAGACGTTCAAATAGTATGTTAGTTTTTAGTTAGTTTGTTGGTTGTGCATCTTTTACCGGACATTGCAGAACCAAGACCAGCATTTTTTTGGAATTTAAGTTGAGTAGTTTGCGACTTCTTTCTGGATGGTTGGTTGCTTGATACCACTGTCGAAACCAATGCAAGGCATAAGGCTCGCAGCTGGGATCGAACCAGGCAGCTTGGCATTACAAAGCACGTTTGAAACGCCTAAGTTGTTAGTTTTACAGCCAATACATGAATTGATCCACCAGGTGGACTGGGATGAGCTTGCTCACAAGTTGAACAAGATGGAGAATGACTGCAAGGCATCATGGGATTACCTTCAGGCTATTGTCAAGCATGATGGGAGTAGTACTGACCTGAAAGGGAAGTGAGTAGATTGTGTATGTTGGTGACTTGTCATACATTTGTCTGTGATGTAACCCGAATTAATGGTAAAAGTTGGTAGTAAAGTGAATCAGATGAAGTCTGCAATCAGACAATATGTCAAGATCTTGATACCCAGTCCTTACAAACCCGAGTGGATCAGTCTCAATGGTTTGGACGTGTATGCAGAATGGGAGAAATACCACCAGGGTTTGCTGGGAAGACAACATCCGACAGTCCCTAACTGACAGAGGACTGGAATGGAACAAAGCCAGAAAGAAAGCTACAGATAGAGATGTCTGGCGATCTCTCTGGCAAACCTTTACACCCCAAGGTAGAAGAGCAACAAAATTAAATGAATGAGAAGTGTCTTAGTTGTAATGCTGTTTTCTGTAACAATTATTTGGTGATAGCTGGAAAAAAAAACTGGATGCAAATTTACTCATTACTGACTGTATTTGCAATTTATCTTTTTTCTTCTCTAGTGTCCTTTTGTCTTTCAGTGTCCGATTTAAAGAGACATCAGGTATGTGCTTTATATGTGCTATCTAGATACTGGCATTTACAACCTCGTATATTCTGTCTGACTCGTAAACCAGCATACCGCGATCGAAACCCACTGCAGGCTGCGTGGATTTTTGTCGTGGTATGGGACGTCGCAGGTCGACCCAGCCTAAAATGGGTACCAGGATGGGCTGTCCTGGGAAAGTAAAGACAGCCGGCGTAATGCTGACCACATTACCCACAGAGTGCTGATGGTCTGTAAAAATATGGGACGCTCTGCCCTTATGCCCGATGCGCCGATAGGCGTAAAAAGGGATCTTTACTTTTTTTTTTTTTTTTTTTTTTTAATATTCTGTCTATCCATAATTTGTGTGGTCAACCTCTAGTCTGCTGCCATTGTCCTGACTGGGCTCTGTGTGGTGCACTATCTGTTGGTAGTCTTCACACATGCCTAAACCATTTCATCTCTGGTCTCAGGTGTAGTTTAGTACTGGTTCTGTCCATAAGGTTTTTCTCTAAAGCTCCTTTGTAACAACAATGGACTTCATTAAAGTTTAATTTGAGCATTAACTATACAAATCTGTGTGATAGCTGTCTTCACCTAAAACGTTTGGTTGTTTTCAAAATCTGTTGCTTTTTACAAATCTTTTGTATGTTTTACTAATTTTCTCAGGATGTCGACATTTTTGGCGGATGCAGCAGAAAGAATAATGATCCTGAATATCATATTTAAAAGAGTTATGAACAGGTAATATTTCTTTTGATGGGAATAGCTACAGACTTATTTATACTTTAACATATATAATTTCGTCCTCTTTCCACTCAAGTAATTGTTTTGCAAATGAGATGTAATTTAAACATTAGCATACGTTATCTCGTCTTTGCTTATCAAATTAACTGGTGCCTGCAAAGAATGAGCTTTGTTCCCTGTTATAAATGAATCACTGATGTAGAGCTCTGGAGGAGAAGTGTACAAATTGCATGAATGAAGATATGAGAAAGACACTCTAACACAGGATTGGACATTGAGAAAACTGGACATTGAGAAAACTTGATAGTGATATAACTGGAGTATACATGCACTGGAAACCAAAGAAGTGAAGGTGGATCTAAACACCTGGAGCTAGAGTGTGGTGCTGGAGTGTGGTGCTAGAGTGTGGTGCTAGAGTGTGGTGCTGGAGTGTGGTGCTAGAGTGTGGTGCTGGAGTGTAGTGCTAGAGTTTGGTGTAAAAATGTGGTGCTGGAGTGTGGTGCTGGAGTGTGGTGCTAGAGTGTGGTGCTAGAGTGTGGTGCTAGAGTGTGGTGCTGGATTGTGGTGCTGGAGTGTGGTGCTGGAGTGTGGTGCTGGAGCGTGGTGCTAGAGTGTGGTGCTAGAGTGTGGTGCTGGATTGTGGTGCTGGAGTGTGGTGCTGGAGTGTGGTGCTGGAGCGTGGTGCTGGAGTGTGGTGCTGGAGCGTGGTGCTGTAACGTGGTGCTGGAGTGTGGTGCTGGAGTGTGGTGCTGGAGTGTGGTGCTGGAGCGTGGTGCTGGAGCGTGGTGCTGTAACGTGGTGCTGGAGTGTGGTGCTGGAGTGTGGTGCTGGAGTGTGGTGCTGGAGTGTGGTGCTGGAGTGTGGTGCTGGAGTGTGGTGCTGGAGTGTGGTGCTGGAGTGTGGTGCTGAGATGGAACATACAATCAGAGTAGTCTTGGTACCATCAAAATTGGAACTCTGTGATGGCTGCAAAAGATGAGGATAGAGATCTTATGGAAAGGTTGTATGTTCTGTGCTGTTGGTTCCGAACGCAACTAAATTGAGGTGGAAAAGCTTAGGGAGAGAAGTGCATGCCGTGGCAATGGAGGGAGTGACTTTGCGTGGATTCACTATGGTGGGGAAAAAGGCGTTTACTGTTTCTAGTTATGGCAAGTTCTTACTTCTAACAGTTGTTACCCATTGCATTCTTCTCTGTATATAGACTGAACAGATATAGTTTTGTCGGCCAGCTATTTCGACATGTATTTGTTACTGTACGCTGCATTAATTGTTCGATAGATGTGCACTGGTTGACATCCTTTACTTGTAAGAAACTGAATCACAGCTGACTGACTGACTGACTGACTTTCTACCCAACCAGGACATCACACAAGTGATAAACACCCGATGACACGAAGTGCCACCATGTGGATGAGGATAGCCGTGGAGAGGTCCCAGAAACCGCGTTCAGACAGTTGGCCATATTTATGGCCTGCCTATATTGCGGCCCCTGGCAAAAGCCAGGGTGGGGCTTCAAAGAACAAAAAATTTAGTCCTAAAAAGGACGTAAGAATTTTTAATGCACAACTTTGAATCATAGCGCTGTGAGCCTTGTTGATGGATTTTGGGCCATGTTCTGAACTGTAAGAAACAGAATAAATGCATCACGTGGACGATATGCAAGTTCTCTATTCATTGGTCAGTACTTATCACATGAGTATGGCATGATGCTGTACAACAAATGCAGTTACACTCGTTTCAACACAAACAGGTTTCTACTGCATGCTAATGTCAAACTGCTTTCATGTGGTAAGGTTGAGTGGGACATTGAGGTTGGGTTTTGGATGGGAAATGTTTCAGTTGGTTATAAAGAGGCTAAAGAAGAATGGTAAACAAGCACAGTCCTAAAGAAATGTGAACTTCTTGGACCCAAAGGAGATCTGCAGTAGACTGCAGATCTTCAAGTCTGAAGCTAGAAAACATGGAGGCTTGTAGAATGCATGATGTAACACTACGCCAACGATTACTTTCAGAATGCTTTTGACTGTGCTGAACAGGGTTTGTATCGTGTACCGCAGATTCCGAAAGTGTCGAACAGCCTGTTGCCAGAGAACTAGTGGTGGCTTGTGTGATGAATTGTGTGTGCTTACCTGGTGTAACTGTTGTTTCCATCGATGATGAACTGCATTTTTAGTGCCCGACTGTTTGTGTTGGCACATCTGACAGCGGTCTTTTGCTTGTGTACACTATAGGCTTTGCTGAGAAAGTCTATGTGATGTTTTGCACACAGTGAAAGACATTTTTTGTGGTTTTCATTAGCATAGGAATGGAGCAACTATGGCAGGGCTTTTCAGCTGGCAGCCCGCAAGCCAAATGTGGCCTGCAGAGGCCTAGCGAGTGGCTTGCAGATCAATTGCCAGTTTTATGTTTATGTTCTTTCTATGCTGGGACTGGGTCCTCTGACTGACAATGCTCCCGATTTTGCAACATTTTGGCCTTTGAACAAAGTTAGTTGAATGGCTTGGAATATTTTGGCCTTTGAACAGAGTTGAATGGCTTGCAAGATTTTGGCCTTTGAACAAAGTGAGTTGAATGGCTTGCAAGATTTTGGCCTTTGAACAAAGTTAGTTGAATGGCTTGCAAGATTTTGGCCTTTGAACAAAGTTAGTTGAATGGCTTGCAAGATTTTGGCCTTTGAACAAAGTTAGTTGAATGGCTTGCAAGATTTTGGCCTTTGAACAAAGTTAGTTGAATGGCTTGCAACATTTTGGCCTTTGAACAAAGTTAGTTGAATGGCTTGCAACATTTTGGCCTTTGAACAAAGTGAGCTGAATGGCTTGCAACATTTTGGCCTTTGAACAAAGTTAGTTGAATGGCTTGCAAGATTTTGGCCTTTGAACAAAGTTAGTTGAATGGCTTGCAACATATTAGCCCTTTAAAAAACTTAGTTAAATGGCCTGCAACATTTTGGCCTTTTAACAAACTTAGTTGAATGGCTTGCAACATTTTGGCCCCTGAAAAAACTTAGTTGAATGGCCCTGAACTATGGGATCACCTGTTTGCTATAACACGGAACTGAGATTACATGATTTCCCGACTTTGCATGAGCTGGTTAATGGTGTATGCCTCAGTGGGAGATATACAAGTTAGTTTAGTATCCTTTACAGGACATTGCAGAACCAACCCCTGCCTTTATTAGTTGGAGTGGTTTTTTAAGGCAAATTTTACTTTCACTAGTTTGCCGTTGCTACCTGAATGGTCAGCTCTGGGTACACTTGCTGAAACCAGTGCAAAACATTTTTGTCCGCAGCAGGGATAGAACCCGTCACTCCTGCGTTACAAAGCATGCTAACAATGCCTAAGCCATAGATGCAATTTGAAGATATAAGGTTGGGAAAAACGTCAAAGTTTTGCAGATAAAGCTCTAACTGGGTACAGCTGTAACTGGATACAGCTGTAACTGGATATATCACTAACTGGGTGCAGCTCTACCTGGATACAGTTCTAACCGGGTACAGCTGTAACTGGGTACAGCTATAGCAAGGTACAGCTGTAACTGTATACAGCTCTAACTGGGTACTGCTTTACCTGGGTACAGCTGTAACTGGGTAACAGGTCTAACTGGATACAGCTCTAAACGGGTACAGCTGTAACTGGAAGTTTTCTCTTACAGATACAACAAGATGCTGCTGTATTTAGGATTCCCTGCCAGCGAGGCTCGTGACATGAAAGTCAACCATTTCTGTAAGGTTATCAGTGAGTTTGCTCTTGAGTATCGCACCACCAGGGACAAAGTCCTGCAGATGTTGCAGAAGAAAGCTAACCAGAGGGAAAGAAAGAAGACACGAGGGAAGATGATTGTAGATGTGAGTACCTGTTTCACATGTCTGTTTGAAGTTGTAGAATGTCAATTTTATAAGAGAATATAATAATCACCCCAAACATCTCAACGTTATTGATGTCCTAGAGATCCGTGCCTCTCCGGCAGATGCACTCCCAATGTGAAGAAAGCTCCCAAGTAATCAGCGATGAACAATGTGGATTTGTAGAAGGAAAAGGTACAAACAATGCCATATACATCCTAAGGACATTGTCAGAAAGAGCTATAGAAGTAAAGACTGATTTGTACTTATGCTTCATAGACTATACAAAAGCATTTGACTGTGTGAAGCATGAAGAAGTAATCAAACTGTTAGAAAAATTAAACATTGATGGGAAAGATCTAAGAATAATAAAGAATATGTATTGGCAGCAAACAGCAGCTATAAGAATTAACAACTGTTTAGGTACATTTCAAAGCATAAAGAGGGGCGTACGACAAGGATGTGTACTTTCACCTGATTTGTTTTCAATATACAGTGAATATATTATGAGATCTTTAATTGATATGCCCGGAATCGTGGTTGGTGGGCACAATATAAACAATTTACGTAATGCTGATGACACAGTCTTGATAGCAACAAGTCAGAAAGAATTACAGGAAATGATAGACATTGTGGTGTTAGAAAGTGGAAGAATGGGCCTCAGTTTGAATAATGGGAAGACAGAAGTAATGGTGGTATCAAAAAAAACAAATTATTCCTAAATGTGTAATAAAAGTCAATGGTGTTATTTTGAGACAAGTACAGAAATTTAAGTATCTGGGCACATGGATAACATCAGATGGAAGATGCATAACTGAAATAAGAAACAGAATTGGACAGGCAAAAACTGCATTTTATAAAATGAAAAACATCTTGTGCAATATATCCTTGTCATTGAGAGTTAGAAAAAGAATTCTTGCTTGCTACATACATCCAGTTTTAACATATGGATGTGAATCCTGGACAATCGGTAGGCAGGCCAAACAATTTTTGGAGGCCTCAGAGATGTGGTTTTACAGAAGAATGCTTAGAATACCTTGGACAGCCAAAAAGAGCAACCAAAAGGTTTTAAAAGAGGCGGGAGACCGAAGACAACTTGTCACTGACATTAGAAGGAGACAGTCATCATTTTTCGGCCATGTTATGAGAAGAGGGGAAAATAGAACATGTTGTGACCACTGGAAAGATCTGTGGAAGGAGGGATAGAGGAAGACAATGAGAGAAGATGCTTGACAGTCTTGTTGCATGGCATGGAGGTGTGTCGGCACACGAACTGATACATGCTGCAGGAGATCGCGGATTATGGAGAGGCATGATCGCCCACGCCAGTCGGCAAGGCACCTGATGATGAGAGAAATGTCAATTGATTAGTTGAGCACAACGGTATTCCGGTGTGGACTCTGAATAGTTTCTTCTTTTCCTCTTCCACCTTTTACCTCAGCGAGAAAGGTGGAGGGAAAAGGGGGGGGGGGGGGGGGTGGGGGTATAAGGAATGTGTGTGCACTTTTTCCAATGCAGTGAACAAGTTGGTGTCCATTTCTGTTAGGTTGCTCCTGATAATGTCGCTCCATCTCTTGCGTGGTCTTCCCCTTGCTTTGTGTTCATTATATTTGTTTAGTGTGGCTCTCTGGTACCATGGCATTCTCGTCAGTTACCCAAACCATCTCTTTTGGCAAACATTGCACGTCACTAATGTGTTTGTTTGTTTTGGAGATTTTGCTTTTATGAGATAAATTTGTGTTTTAAACATGTGTAGACTCTCACTTATTAAATCTTCTTCTTGTTTGCATTCACTCTGGCAGAAAGTAATTGTTGTTCATTTTGGACTGCAGTCCTGTTCCAGAACCTGGTTGTTGCGTGTGCATCCGTTTTACAGATCTGACTCATGTGTATGCAGACTGCTGTTTCCGTGCCTCTCCGGCAGATGCACTCCCAATGTGAAGAAAGCTCCCAAGTAATCAACATGCTTTTGAGTAGGCAGTGGGTCTGTTTTATCCCCCCACCCCACCTCAGTCCTATAATAGGGACCTGGAATAACACAGATTTATAATTTTGGAGGAGGAGGGATGAGTACAGGTTGTGGAAGATATTCAGCACTGGGGAGAACAGAAAAAAGTTATTTAAAATAAAACGTAAAGGTTTGTGTTCCACGCCTTTAGGCATATAGGGCATTTAGGTCTAGACCTATATTTTGTAAAGACGAGTTCGCACAAGATGGCTGGTGTGGTCATCATGACGTCGACTGGGGGGAAACATAAGCGGACTTGTAATCTTGTTGCAGCTGGTACTGTTTTCATGTGGAATTTTCTTTGGCTACTGAAGAAAGGGGCGGAGCGCAGCTCATGTAGGAATGTTCCAAAGACAATGGTGTAAAAATCTGGATTCATTTGTGACCTCATCAGATAGTGTCAGTAACAATCTTCTACCAGTTGTCAAAGCCACTACTTGAGTTCTCTGTTCTCATATTCAGTGTCTTATTGAACTGTCCAGTCCTCCGCATACAGGGAGAAATATGAACTCAAAATCTGCTGAAAGTGAGGGTTTAATGCAATTTAACTGACCTCAAGGCTTAGTTTAGGTTAAGACAACAGATGAACATTGTGGCACAATGTTAGTAACCCATAAGTGTTCTACTTCTGACTCAAGCCTGGTATCTCAGCGCAGTGCACGAACTCCATAGCACCCTGGCGATGATCCTGAAATACTTTGGGTACATCTGAAACTCTAAATTTTGCCGGGGCAGCGCTGCTTATTTTTGTTATTTCTAGCCACTTAGGTAATTTTTACGTGTGCAACAATACACACGGGCGTCCGATCTCAATATCCAGAGATCAGGGGAAATTACTAGGAGTGTACAGAAAAAAATCCCAGCCTTCACTTGGGGCTTGAACCTGAGACCTCCAGATATCTGCCATACCTTGAGACTACGCAGGCCCAATCTGCGTATCTACAACGTATCTATTATTTGGCTCGAGCATGCTGTTTTTAGTAAACCTTTTAGTTGTTTTGTAAGACATGCCTGAGGACGTTGGTCATTTCACTTCTTAAATGTTAATAAATGCGCAGTTGTAAGAAATAGGTTGGTTGAACCCATATAGTGAGGGATCAAGTTTCAGCATTTCTGGCAACTGACCCTCCAGACCCATAAGTTGATGAGAGGTTTACCAACCTAGAGCTTTGTTTCTGGCAGCTGACCCCCAGACCACTAAGTTGATGAGAGGTATACCAACCTAGAGCTTTGTTTCTGGCAGCTGACCCCCAGACCACTAAGTTGATGAGAGGTATACCAACCTAGAGCTTTGTGGCAGCTGACCCCCAGACCACTAAGTTGATGAGAGGTATACCAACCTAGAGCTTTGTGGCAGCTGACCCCCAGACCACTAAGTTGATGAGAGGTATACCAACCTAGAGCTTTGTATCTGGCCGTGCGTGCAGTAACATCACCATTTGTAGGCATCCTATGTTTCGGCATCACTGTCATAGACACTTTATGTGAAGTATCAGTATCTTGAAGACAATTTGTGCAGTGTTTCGGCTTGCTTTTCTAGCACTATGTCCCTGTTTTAGCCATTGCAACCATCATCATCATGTAGCAGGTTCTTTGCAAAATGTCACAATTTTGTGGTCAGAACTTGGTCTGTGGCCAGCTCTCCCACCTCGTGTATTTTCATGTTGAAGGAGTCACTTATATCCTGTGCCCATCTTCGTGCTGGTCGGCCCCTGCGTCTCCTTCCTGGTACCATGCCTTTTGCTATTATATATTCCAATCCACCTTCGCTGTAAACAAATATGTATTGCTTTGGCTGTCCATGCAGACTGAAAACTTCAGGAGCAAAAAACCAGCCAGTGACGATGCCCTGAAACAGATCTTGAAGAACGGGTACTCAGGCACTGATGAGCTGGCAATATCTGGACAGAGAGGGCGCCGGCGGCCAGTCTCAGGTAGGTTTATAATTTAATGTCTTGATAGTTAAATCTCCCTGACTGGATACTGCGGAAACCTGGACAACAAGCTCGGGAGATGTCAAAGTACACAAGAATAGTGGAAACAGAGCGCTGCAAAGGTTTTATAGAGGTTGGAAAAGAGAATAAATGAAAAAAATATATATCCTTTGCAGGACATTTACTTATGCAACAAGCCAACAATGTCATTATCAAGTGACCCCTAATTAGCATACAGTGGTCTACTGCCAAAGACCCCACTGCAGAATGGAGACGGGTACTTGAGTTATGAACAACATTTGTACCCCTCAGCCAGAAAAAAACAAAAATTAATTACTTGTTCTATCAACTCATTCATTGCTGAACACTACAATTAATTGTTAGTCCTAAGTAGCTGATGAATGTGTTATTTGTGACAACTTTGTGCTATCAGTGCCAGATATGGGTAGTCCTAAAAAGAAAGCCCAAATCAAATGTGAGATATGTATACGAAAGGTGTCAGGAAAAAGAAGAGAGTAACCTGTGATGACCTAGTAACAGTGTTAGGCACATTACCAGGGCTGAACTAGCAACAATGTTAGGCACATTACCAGGGATGAACTAGCAACAGTGTTAGGCACATTACCAGGGATGAACTAGCAACAGTGTTAGGCACATTACCAGGGATGAACTAGCAACAGTGTTAGGCACATTACCAGGAATGAACTAGCAACAGTGTTAGGCACATTACCAGGGCTGAACTAGCAACAGTGTTAGGCACATTACCAGGGCTGAACTAGCAACAGTGTTAGGCACATTACCAGGGATGAACTAGCAACAATGTTAGGCACATTACCAGGGCTGAACTAGCAACAGGCACATTACCAGGGCTGAACTAGCAACAGTGTTAGGCACATTACCAGGAATGAACTAGCAACAGTGTTAGGCACATTACCAGGGCTGAACTAGCAACAGTGTTAGGCACATTACCAGGGCTGAACTAGCAACAGGCACATTACCAGGGCTGAACTAGCAACAGTGTTAGGCACATTACCAGGGCTGAACTAGCAACAGTTAGGCACATTACCAGGGCTGAACTAGCAACAGTGTTAGGCACATTACCAGGGCTGAACTAGCAACAGTGTTAGGCACATTACCAGGGATGAACTAGCAACAATGTTAGGCACATTACCAGGGATGAACTAGCAACAGGCACATTACCAGGGATGAACTAGCAACAGTGTTAGGCACATTACCAGGGCTGAACTAGCAACAGTGTTAGGCACATTACCAGGGCTGAACTAGCAACAGTGTTAGGCACATTACCAGGGATGAACTAGCAACAATGTTAGGCACATTACCAGGGCTGAACTAGCAACAATGTTAGGCACATTACCAGGAATGAACTAGCAACAGTAGTAGGCACATTACCAGGGCTGAACTAGCAACAGTGTTAGGCACATTACTAGGGCTGAACTAGCAACAGTGTTAGGTACATTACCAGGGCTGAACTAGCAACAGGCACATTACCAGGGCTGAACTAGCAACAGTGTTAGGCACATTACCAGGGATGAACTAGCAACAGTGTTAGGCACATTACCAGGGCTGAACTAGCAACAGTGTTAGGCACATTACCAGGGCTGAACTAGCAACAGTGTTAGGCACATTACCAGGGATGAACTAGCAACAATGTTAGGCACATTACCAGGGATGAACTAGCAACAGGCACATTACCAGGGATGAACTAGCAACAGTGTTAGGCACATTACCAGGGCTGAACTAGCAACAGTGTTAGGCACATTACCAGGGCTGAACTAGCAACAGTGTTAGGCACATTACCAGGGATGAACTAGCAACAATGTTAGGCACATTACCAGGGATGAACTAGCAACAATGTTAGGCACATTACCAGGAATGAACTAGCAACAGTAGTAGGCACATTACCAGGGCTGAACTAGCAACAGTGTTAGGCACATTACTAGGGCTGAACTAGCAACAGTGTTAGGTACATTACCAGGGATGAACTAGCAACAATGTTAGGCACATTACCAGGGCTGAACTAGCAACAGTGTTAGGCACATTACCAGGGATGAACTAGCAACAATGTTAGGCACATTACCAGGGATGAACTAGCAACAATGTTAGGCACATTACCAGGGCTGAACTAGCAACAGTGTTAGGCACATTACCAGGGATGAACTAGCAACAATGTTAGGCACATTACCAGGGCTGAACTAGCAACAGTGTTAGGCACATTACCAGGGATGAACTAGCAACAATGTTAGGCACATTACCAGGGATGAACTAGCAACAATGTTAGGCACATTACCAGGAATGAACTAGCAACAGTGTTAGGCACATTACCAGGGCTGAACTAGCAACAGTGTTAGGCACATTACCAGGGATGAACTAGCAACAATGTTAGGCACATTACCAGGAATGAACTAGCAACAGTATTAGGCACATAACCAGGGATGAACTAGCAACAATGTTAGGCACATTACCAGGGATGAACTAGCAACCAAAAAATCAGTTTAATAATCTGCCAGCAGGCATCCGGCATGGGAACAACAGGCCACAGGGCAAGAGGCTGACCAAGAAAGCAAGGAGTCTTTGGGGACCCCTAATATAACTTAACAGATGAACAGGATTTCTGGTAGCTGTAACCAGGGTATTCTCCTCCGAAAAATGGCGGGTCTTTATTGCTCGTTGTGTGGTCCTGCTGGGGTTGAACATCACATTTATTGCACATGTTATATGTTGTCTGTTCAGTGCATGTGAAATCTTCTGCTAGATGGCAAGTCAGTGAATGCAACGAAAGGTGGGACAACAACAGATTCCGACATGTTTGACACCGGCGATGATGAAATCCTGGAGGCGTGTGTCCGATCTGCAGCTGCTGCACCAAGTTCTCGTCCAAGAGAGCGCAGGAGAGCTCGTACTGAGCGCAAGTCTTGTAAGTGTGAAGTTTTTGACAACATAAATTGTAACATCATCATGTTAGGATTCACTGTAAAATATTCTGGATGTTCTAGTTGCTGAACTTCAGTCTTGTTTCAGAACTTTGAGTGCACATCTGTTGTGTAGCATGAAGAGAAACTATTGGGGATCCATTGTAGAGATGCCATCTTGTCTGTTTTACAAACACAACATTGTATTCTGAGAAGATGTCGTATGGCAGTTTTGTCGCGCTTTACTAACGGAATATTTTCACAAATCCCTCAGGTGCTCTGAGACAGGAGTGTTTTGAATGGTGGCTCTCGTTTGTCTAGAGGCCTAACCCTCGGTTCAAACTTTCCATTCAACCTGTTTCAGGGATGAGGTGACACGAGCTCTGACTCGACAGGGTTATTATGAACACTTGGGTACCTCTCGGCCAGACGTCCCCACCACTGTTTTGCCCCCAGACTGGTACAATGTACACCCAGTCGAACAAGTAATCAACAGTGACTTTGACAAGACAACACTACCTTTGTGAATAAATGAATTTCAATAAAACGAAACTTTTATACCAACCAGAAGACTGATGAAGTACAACATTAATGTAATGAAATCACCATAACAAGGTTGATGAAAAGTAGCGTGAAGAATTCAAAAGGAAGATTCAAATCCTTGAAAATCTAACACTAGAGAAAGAGTTTTTCTACATAGACACATCAACTTCCTGGATCATCATGGCGGAGGTGGAGAACTGATTACGAAGGCCCATTTGGAGTCGAGCCATTTTATGTCTGTCACTTCGACTTATCTGATTAGATCTCGCAGCTCCTTAGGATGCCGGAATGGAGTTTCACACCGCTGTACTTTACAGCACGACTTCACAGGAACGAAGCAGCTTCTGGCATTGATCTAGGACAATCAACTCGAAATCGGAAGACGTCGACTCAAGTATCGTCCACACATTCAGCTCAGCAATTCACCACACGTCAATTGCTTATTGGGTGGTGGCAGATGGAAACACTCTGCAAGACACGGACACTTGTTGGATCCTCAGAAATCGTGAAAAACGCAAAGCAACACCCATAAGCGAACCGTACCCAACGCAACTAGTTAATCAAAGTCCTTACTCCCTCCCAATGCTCAGATATACTTGAGGTTATTCCAAACCATGAAGGTTGGTTACCTCTATCTTGGAATCCATTTAGTTTCCTAGAGTGAGCACTAGATCATTAACTCGAATAGTTCCTGGATTCAGTCCTGTAGCGACGGCTAGACAGATCTCCATTATTTACCCTCCCTTCTAAAATACCTTTTCCACTAATAGGGAAGATAAGGTATAGGCGATGAAGTCAAAGTTCTGATACCGAATAACAGCAAACAACTAATCATACAAAGTTATCAATACCATAAACCCACTCCAGATATGTGGATTGATTGATCCGAATAGGTTTAGAAGGCCAATTAGAAGAATTCTCCGAGAAATGTCAGTGCATTCCAATCCGAAGCTCCCTTCGCCGTCTTCCATCGCAAGGATCGTAGGCAAACAGATTCGCATTATCAATCTGCTGACCTTACTTACCCACATCACAGACACTATGAACACAAATATTCAATTAAAAGCCCCTATGAAAACTCACTCATGATAAATGAAGAGAGAATAAAGAATCTTGTCTTTTTAACGGTCAATTGGCAACACACAAGGAAAGCGACTGCCTCAAAGACCGGACCATAGAGAAGTGACGCATAAAACATGTTCCCCAACTACAGCAGTTAGCGTACGAATCTCGCTCACGAATGCAGTGCAGTGGTCAGACAATTTATTTAGAATAGGCGTAGAAAATGTGTCCTAACGTGTAATTCGACACTAAAAGCCTAAAAGAGTCATAGGGATTTTTCTTATTTAGTGCCCCCCCACAACAAACGAACTATATAACTATGCTCGGCCTATACTAATTCGTAGTTGCAATGACGATTTTGGGGGTGTTCAGACTGTGGACCTGCCTACTGTGGTAGATGTGTGGATTCTGTCATGCGACAGAAGAAGAATAAAAAGCATGCGCCTGGAATGATAGATGCGGCCAACAGCATCATATATGTGGCCGATACGAAGAGACATCACATACAGAAATGCATAACAAGGAAAGGGGGGAAAAAAACCACAAGGCAAATACTGGCTGGCAGTGCTCATTTGATATGATCATGTTTTAGCTGCAACCTTGAGTGTATCTGTGTCCACGTATCTCTGATTAGCTTTCTTTCCATCTGGCAGTTCTAGTGAGTCTGCCTCTTTTCTCTCCACCATCTTCCTTGTTCCCCTCAACTTCAACTTGTTTGTGTCTGTTATCTGACATTCTCCTGATATGTACAGGTTTGTTGTGTCTGTTAGCTGACATTATACTGATATGCCGCAACCATTGCTGTCATCCTGATGGATAATCTGTAACTGTTTATGTATTTGACAGTGCGTCGGACATTGAAGGGAGGGCTCAGCTTTGAAGAGCAACAAGCACTTGGAACAAATGATGATCATGTGTGATGCGAGCCGGCCACGGATGAAGTTTCTATGGATGGCAGTTTGTACAGAAGTTTCTATGGATGGCAGTTTGTTCAGATGTGTCTATTATTATATAGGGGTAGAAATATCAGACAGAGATTCACTACTGTGTCCCATAAGTTTCCAGAAAGAATAAACACACACCAATGCCATTGCCAGCATAACTCCTTTTTCTACTTTTACAGCTTCGGCGGGTGCCAAGGGAGATTACATAGCATCAGAAGGCATTCTCTCCAAGTGGGCAAACCATCTGATTTGCTGTCTTTCTATATAATTTATAGTTGTGTGTCGACTTTTCTCCTCATTTGTATGGTTTTTCTGTGTTTTTTGTTGTTGTTGTTGTGAGTGTCTTGCACTGGTAGCCTAGGGTGGGAATGAATATGCTTTGTATTGAGATGTCTGTGTGTTGACTTGGATTGCCTTATGCAGCTATATAGCTCCAGCTGTGCTTATGTGATCTTCAGCAGTGGTGGAAAATCAGTGGTGAAATTTTTTGTTTCTGTAAACACCATCTGTTGGATTTACAATATGTATAACTTTTGTAACTTGGATATTCATGTAGCATTAATAGATTGGGGGGGAAGAAGAGAGAGACCAATACTGAATGCACTTTGTTGGGGTAACTGGAAATTCTAGTTATTTTCTGCAGATTTTCCAGTAACTTCACTTATTGCTTTGGTTTTAAATTATATGCTTTTTGTTGTCAGTGATAAAATGTGCAGCTGTGTGGACAATAAAAGCGTTTTCCATGCCTTCAGGTGTGTTGGATAAACTACATAATTTGGGAAAGCCTGGGAAGAAACTACATAATTTGGGAAAGCTTGGGAAGAATTTGTAAAATACTGCTGGCTTTGTTCCATACAGAACAAGAAATGAATACATTGTGTCTGCTTCATACACCTGCAAAGACAAAAATGTTTGAGCTCCCCCCCCCCCCCCCCCAGGTTGGGTATGAAAAAAATTGCAGACCTCAGCATAGCTATATACATATAACTGACAAAATTGACTATTGCACTATCCAGTACATTGTCTGGCATGAATTTGTGAAAACTAGAGAGACATATCAGTTCTTTTTTGGCACAATAATCACAGTGAAAAGGCACCATTAGTGTATGACTTGATTTGGCCAGATTTCTTTTCTTTTGCATACCCAGACCAAACATAGTCTAGAAAGAGCCTGGCTGTATGGACCGCATCTCCAGGCCCCCCCCACCCCCAATGGTGGTGCATTATTACTATATGCATACAAAGTTCAAACATTACCAGAAAGATCAATAATATGCAAATAACATCTTCACACATACATTATGAAAGGCAATCTAATTATCACAATTTCTCATTTCTGGCAGTTAGGTGCTCAGCAGTAGAACATGCATATCTTACATCCAAATGAACCGGTCAAATGACTGGCCTTAATTACAAAATCTGAGTAATTATTTTAATATCTCAGAATGGCAGAAAGTTCTGGTTGTTCATCCACTTCTGGACTGCAGTCCTGTTTCAGGTGCATAAGTTTTACAGAACTACAGGACTCATTTGTATGCAGACTGTTGGTTCCTTGCCTCTTACATCTGTAATGAAGGTTTTCAATCCAGCATTTTTAGATACTGTCCATTATCTCATTAAAGCATTCACCTCTACTTCACATAGAAACCTTTTATATCATTACTCCTTAACATAGCCTTCAACCCCCACAACACAGCCTTAAAAAGTCTTCCGCAAAGCCTCCCACAACTTGTGATTCAACGATTACTTCTACGACATCCACCAACTCTAACAATGCAATCTCACTAAAGCATTTATCACACACCCAAACTAATTAAATTATGAATGTCTCAAACTAATAATCAAGAAAGCCTTCATGCTTTCACCTCACGTGAAACTACCTCAATTATCACACACATGAAAGCTGATTCGTACAAAAAAAGTGAAAGGGTTCAGCTGATAGCTGATTAAATATCGTAACACTGCTATTAACTCTAGCCTTCAACTTATGACCTCACTCATGCTAGCCTTCAACTTATGACCTCACTCATGCTAGCCTTCAACTTATGACCTCACTCATGCTAGCCTTCAACTTATGACCTCACTCATGCCAACTAGTAATGCTTCAACTGATTCCTTATCTCATTAGTGGCTTCAACTTTTTTATTATAAAAGCCTTCATAATTTTTTCTTATGAAAGGCTAATCACTCAATTCCTTTTCTCATTAATACCCTACCCTCAACTCATTTACTTCTGAAGTTAAGGAGAGCCAAAAATTCCAAAAGACAAACTCAAGAAAGCCTACAACTTGAGAAGCCTTTAACCATCCTTACTTTACATATGAGCCTTCAAACTTCCTCCCTTGAAAGCCCCATTACTTTAAATAAAAATCAACTCTGAAAGCTTTTAAACTATGATTTGTATAACAGCATTTAACTCAGAACAGCCTTTCTTCATGAAAGCCTCTGAATCATTACTCCTCTTATGTAAGCTTTCAATTTGAATAAATTCTCTCATGAAAAATCCTAAAACCAGAGAGGCAAAAGAAATGCTTGGGGGCTTCTTAGCAAAAGTTAATGGTCGACGTTTGGTGCAGGAGAGCCTAGCATATGATACCACAGATGGGGACGGAGCGCCCCGAGTGCTGTGATATCAGTTCTTGAATCAAATCCTAACTTCTTTTATGAAAACCTCTAACTGAATCATTCCTTTTCACAAGACTTAATCATTACTTCATAATCATTACTTCATAAGACAGCCTTCATTAACTCTCATTAAATTAACCTTATAGACGTCTTCTTATAGACGTCTTTAAAGTAATTTCCATTCAACCATTACATCCCTGAAGAAACCTTCTAACCACAATCCTGCCAGGGAAATCTTATTGCTGAAGACATCAGACAAAAATTTGATGTGAGATCTACCATTACTGATAAAACAACCTTACTTCTTTGATGTGCATTGACCACTACCCATGTAAGTAAGATTACTTCTCACTGGTGGATGGGTAACTCAGGAGAAAGGCGGGAGGTTCCAACTCTGGTTCATACATGATTTCATAGTACTCCAAACAACCATACCACTTGATAGTCCCTTCCTTACTAACAAAACAATGCAGCTTCAACTGATCAACTGGATCCTGAAACGTCTCCACCACCAAGGAGTCCCCCCACAAACTCGGAGCAAAATGGACGGCTGAAATCCTCATCACATAGTAATCTTGAAGCATGTTCGTCAAGTTTGAGTAAAAGCTGCGGTTTGCTGCAATGCTGATATTGTCTAGGAAGTACCGGATGTAAGACGCATGCCGAGTCCTCCCACTAGTATCTGTGTCCCTCAGAGTGACAACAACATGATGGGAGAAGGTTTTTCCGATGGCGTCCGGAGGCTGGATGGGTCGATAGTTGTCAGGCACTTCTGGAAGGAGTCGCAGGAACTTGGTTCTCCACCAGTCAGGTATTTGCTCAGTCAGGCCAGACTCTCGATGGACTAAGGTGTTGCAGGATTTCATGACAATAGAAGCTTTCTGTCGGCCACCAAAGGTTGCACTGCTGCGTATGGTGTACATAGTATCCATCATCCCAGTTAGTCGCAGTGACACCTGTAATATACGCAGACACATACATGTTAGTCACAGTTACACCTATAATATACACAGACACAAACATGTTAGTCACAGTGACACCTGTAATATACACAGACACAAACATGTTAGTCACAGTGACACCTGTAATATACACAGACACAAACACGTTAGTCACAGTGACACCCATAATATACACAGACACATACATGTTAGTCACAGTGACACCTGTAATACACACAGACACAAACATGTTAGTCACAGTGACACCTAAAGCACACATAATGTCCTAGGAACACCTAGAGCACACATACAGTCCTAGGGACACCTAGAGCACACATACAGTCCTAGGTACACCTGGAGCACACATACAGTCCTAGGTACACCTGGAGCACACATACAGTCCTAGGGACACCTAGAGCACACATACAGTCTTATGGACACCTAGACCACACATACAGTCCTAGGGACACCTAGAGCACACATACAGTTCTAGGTACACCTGGAGCACACATACAGTCCTAGGGACACCTAGAGCACACATACAGTCCTAGGGACACCTAGAGCACACATACAGTCTTATGGACACCTAGAGCACACATACAGTCCTAGGTACACCTGGAGCACACATACAGTCCTAGGGACACCTAGAGCACACATACAGTCTTATGGACACCTAGAGCACACATACAGTCCTAGGGACACCTAGAGCACACATACAGTTCTAGGTACACCTGGAGCACACATACAGTCCTAGGGACACCTAGAGCACACACACAGTCCTAGGGACACCTAGAGCACACATACAGTCTTATGGACACCTAGAGCACACATACAGTCCTAGGGACACCTAGAGCACACATACAGTCCTAGGTACACCTGGAGCACACATACAGTCCTAGGGACACCTAGAGCACACATACAGTCCTAGGGACACCTAGAGCACACATACAGTCTTAGGTACACCTGGAGCACACATACAGTCCTAGGGACACCTAGAGCACACATACAGTCTTAGGTACACCTGGAGCACACACACAGTCCTAGGGACACCTAGAGCACACATACAGTCCTAGGGACACCTAGAGCACACATACAGTCCTAGGGACACCTAGAGCACACATACAGTCTTATGGACACCTAGAGCACACATACAGTCCTAGGGACACCTAGAGCACACATACAGTCCTAGGGACACCTAGAGCACACATACAGTCTTATGGACACCTAGAGCACACATACAGTCCTAGGGACACCTAGAGCACACATACAGTCCTAGTGACACCTAAAGCACACATAATGTCCTAGGAACACCTAGAGCACACATACAGTCCTAGGGACACCTAGAGCACACATACAGTCCTAGGGACACCTAGAGCACACATACAGTCCTAGGGACACCTAAAGCACACATAATGTTCTAGGAACACATAGAGCACACATTGACTTGCAGACTCAAACATCTAGAGTATACACACATACATGCTGGATTCAAGGACACCACGAATATACACAGACACATACAGTCAGACTCGGGGGACACCTTGAAAAATTATCTGTGTTTTGTATTTGTAGGATTCTTTTCCTTCAAGGACTGGGTATTTGGCCCCTGAGGAAATAGTACACACATGAGTTTAGTATTGTCATTGTTGTCTTTCTTTGTTATTAGATAGGACCTTCTGGTAATGAAATAGTTGATATAGCCTGCCAAAAATTTAAAACTGGCGAATCAGCTATGTGCACAGGCCACTGAGACAGCAGATCATGTCCTCCAAGACTGTCCCAAATACAACATATCAAGGCAAAACTTTTGGAAAAGAGAAATATCGGTGCAAGTCAAACTTTACGGGCCGCTGAGTGAATTAAAAAAGACAGTGAAGTTCATACTAGAGACAACTTTGCACATATAGATAATTTATTTCAAGCAAACAACAGAAAAAAAATGTATTTCAAGCAAATAAAAAGAAAAGAAAAAGAAGAATGTCCTTGCCCATATTTCATCCAGAAGATGATTGTCTAACAGGAATATGCCTACTTTCCAGAGAAACAGCAACAGTTCTAACCTCTGACCCTACAGGATGATCCTGCAAATGTCTAACACCTTTGTCCTGTAAGAATCTCAAATGATCTTTCTCAAAAGTGTGTAAATTTAAACAAAACAAAAAAAATTATTTGAATAAATTGCATTCATCCTTCTCTGAAGCAACCTCAGAACACTAGAGGAAAAGAACAGAAGTCTTTCTGGAGTCTTGTTAAGTCTGCGTAAACATGGTGGGGGGGGGGGGGGGTGACCACCAAGCAGTGCTAAACTGCAGCCACTGGACCATTGAAATAATCCATATTAATTCTTTTATTCCCTTTAACAAGCAACTATCTATAGCTTGCTAGTCACATGATTATCTATTTTCCATATCTCTTGTTCCTTTTTCCCCCACAAGGCTTATCTGTCACAAATTTCTCAAATATATTCCTTTTCATGTGCTTATAATCTTGACTGTCCAGACTGTCCAAAGTCTTTAAAAACAAATTTCATGTCTCAAGGAGGACTACTTGTTTCTCTCTTCACAATATTCATTGCAGTTTTTCTTAGAACAATTTCTACTACCATTATTTCTGTAGCATGTCAACTTGGTGTCCATGTTTCACACACACAGAACAGTACATATTCTATACAGCATTATAACACTTCAACTTAGTGTCATATTTCACACACACACACACAGAACAGTACATATTCTATACAGCATTATAACACTTCAACTTAGTGTCATATTTCACACACACACACACAGAACAGTAAATATTCTATACAGCATTATAACACTTCAACTTAGTGTCATATTTCACACACACACACACAGAACAGTACATATTCTATACAGCATTATAACACTTCAACTTAGTGTCATATTTCACACACACACACACAGAACAGTACATATTCTATACAGCATTATAACACTTCAACTTAGTGTCATATTTCACACACACACACACAGAACAGTAAATATTCTATACAGCATTATAACACTTCAACTTAGTGTCATATTTCACACACACACACACAGAACAGTACATATTCTATACAGCATTATAACACTTCAACTTAGTGTCATATTTCACACACACACACACAGAACAGTACATATTCTATACAGCATTATAACACTTCAACTTAGTGTCATATTTCACACACACACACACAGAACAGTACATATTCTATACAGCATTATAACACTTCAACTTAGTGTCATATTTCACACACACACACACACATATTCACAACAGTACACTTAGTTCTATACAGCATTTATACAGCAACACTTCAACTTAGTGTCATATTTCACACACACACACACAGAACAGTACATATTCTATACAGCATTATAACACTTCAACTTAGTGTCATATTTCACACACACACACACACACACACAGAACAGTACATATTCTATACAGCATTATAACACTTCAACTTAGTGTCATATTTCACACACACACACACACACACACACAGAACAGTACATATTCTATACAGCATTATAACACTTCAACTTAGTGTCATATTTCACACACACACACACACACACACACAGAACAGTACATATTCTATACAGCATTATAACACTTCAACTTAGTGTCATATTTCACACACACACACACACACATTCTATACAGCATTATAACACTTCACTTACACACACACACACACAGAACAGTACATATTCTATACAGCATTATAACACTTCAACTTAGTGTCATATTTCACACACACACACACAGAACAGTACACATTCTATACAGCATTATAACACTTCAACTTAGTGTCATATTTCACACACACACACACAGAACAGTACATATTCTATACAGCATTATAACACTTCAACTTAGTGTCATATTTCACACACACACACACAGAACAGTACATATTCTATACAGCATTATAACACTTCAACTTAGTGTCATATTTCACACACACACACACAGAACAGTACATATTCTATACAGCATTATAACACTTCAACTTAGTGTCATATTTCACACACACACACACAGAACAGTACATATTCTATACAGCATTATAACACTTCAACTTAGTGTCATATTTCACACACACACACACAGACACAACATTCTATACAGCATTATAACACTTCAACTTAGTTCATATACAGCAGTTATAACACATTTCAACTTAGTGTCATATTTCACACACACACACACAGAACACATATTCTATACAGCATTATACACTTCAATATTATTTCACACATACAGCAGAACAGTACATATTCTATACAGCATTTACACTTCACTTAGTGTCATATTTCACACACACACACACAGAACAGAACATATTCTATACAGCATTATAACACTTCAACTTAGTGTCATATTTCACACACACACACACAGAACAGTAAATATTCTATACAGCATTATAACACTTCAACTTAGTGTCATATTTCACACACACACACACAGAACAGTACATATTCTATACAGCATTATAACACTTCAACTTAGTGTCATATTTCACACACACACACACAGAACATTATTCTAACACTTATAACACTTCAACTTAGTGTCATATTTCACACACACACACACAGAACAGTACATATTCTATACAGCATTATAACACTTCAACTTAGTGTCATATTTCACACACACACACACAGAACAGTAAATATTCTATACAGCATTATAACACTTCAACTTAGTGTCATATTTCACACACACACACACAGAACAGTACATATTCTATACAGCATTATAACACTTCAACTTAGTGTCATATTTCACACACACACACACAGAACAGTACATATTCTATACAGCATTATAACACTTCAACTTAGTGTCATATTTCACACACACACACACACACAGAACAGTAAATATTCTATACAGCATTATAACACTTCAACTTAGTGTCATATTTCACACACACACACACACAGAACAGTACATATTCTATACAGCATTATAACACTTCAACTTAGTGTCATATTTCACACACACACACACAGAACAGTACATATTCTATACAGCATTATAACACTTCAACTTAGTGTCATATTTCACACACACACACACAGAACAGTACATATTCTATACAGCATTATAACACTTCAACTTAGTGTCATATTTCACACACACACACACAGAACAGTAAATATTCTATACAGCATTATAACACTTCAACTTAGTGTCATATTTCACACACACACACACACACACACACAGAACAGTACATATTCTATACAGCATTATAACACTTCAACTTAGTGTCATATTTCACATACACACACACACACACACAGAACAGTACATATACTACTTCAACTTGGTGTCCATGTTTCACACACACATAGAACAGTGCATATTATATACAGCATTATACTACTTCAATTTGGTGTCCATATTTCACACACACATAGAACAGTACATATTCTATATAGCATTATAACACTTCAACTTAATGTCCTTGTACTACATTCACCACCCCCCCCCCCCCCCCACCCCAACTGACACCTTAACCTTTGTTCACCGGCTGTAAGCTCCAGCGGGAAAGTCCTTGTAATTTGTCCGTTTTTACTGGCTTATTTGGGTGTAGTGGGTTGTTTCCTGCAGCTCAGATAGATGGGCTTCAACTCTTATGGAAGTCTCCAATTAGACAACTCCTACTACATGTTCATTGCGGAGACAGTGGTTCGATTCTTTTCAACCCACAATGGGGCCCTGGAACCCATATGGGAGCATCTCACCCAATACAAAATAATGTATTAATTACTTTATGACCTCAAGACTTTCCTTCCACCCGTTGACCTGAATTTTTTAATTGGGTAATTGTCTGTATGCACCACATTTCTATTTTTCTTCTTCTGCCTTTCTAGACCCCAATGGACAACAGGCCCTCAACCAACTCACGCCAAGTGGTTCTATCTTTTCCTAACGATGCAGCTCTCCCCATGTCCTCCCCACCTTTCTAACTTCATTCTCCAGCTCCCTCCATGTGTTTTTTGGCCTTCCTTTATTCCTATGCCCCTGTAGGTTCCAGTGCTAGTTTCATTCTAGTTATATTCCGGTTTTCTCAGTGTGTGTCCTATCCAAAGCCAGCGTCTTTTCTTCACCTCTTGGTTCACTGTAGCTTGCTTAGTTCTCTCCTAAAGCTCTACATTAGTGATTCTATCATTACAATAAATTCCCTCTATTCTGCGCAGGCACCAGTTGAACATTTCTATTGCCTTTACCTAAGTGTGCAGATTAAACTCCATAACTCTGACCTGAATCGGTGACTTTGGAGTTGTTGTCTCATAAAAGTGCCTGCGTATTTCCATAACCAGTCCCTTGTGGTAGCTGCCGATTCCTTTCTTGCACAGGTTCTTGTAGTCCAGGAAGGACAGGTTGTTGTCATACAGGGCTGCATGCTCCACACGGCCAATGATGTTCTTCAGCCTGTGCAGATCTGGCTGACCTGTGTGTGATGGTAAAGTAACACATTTAGAAATGGACTCCACAGACAGTCAACTGACATTCAGAAATGGACTCCACAGACAGTCAACTGACATTCACAAGCAGACTCCACAGACAGTGAAATGACATTCACAAGCAGACGGTTAAGTGATACATATACAAGCTGGTTCAACAGATAACAGCAAAATGATTTAATTCCTACCTTATTTGCAAGCTGGCAGAGTGATACATTCACAAGCTCATTCAAACAAAAACAAAAAACAACCTAGCAAAGTAATGCATTTAGAACCTGATTTAACATAAGATTGGTACACTCAAATTTGTTTAAAAGATAGTTGCAAGTGTTGCATTTCTAAGGTACAATAATAGACCAAAACTTGTTCAAATGATAAAAGCAAAGTGGTACTACATTCACAAACTGGCTCCCAAAATAACTGCATAGATAAATGATACGTTAACATCCACCTCCAAAGATAGTAGTATAAATAAAAAGAAAAATCACATTACTGATGTCCTAAAGCTGGCTTATAAGACGTGCGGTTTGTTAAACTTGCTCCACAGATAAGTCATATGATGGTTACCACACAGCATAGAGCTGTTGTAACTGCCTCCACCTCCATTCTCAAACTAGATGTAGTATCATATGCTTGACTGTTGTACTAAGCAATGCCCATTGACTTTTACAATGAGCATCCACAGACTTCTACCTCTCAATACAAAGCCACCTGTACAGACAATCAATGAGCTGGGTGTGCTCCCCACTAATTAGAACACAACATAGGTCTGATTATTCCTGGGACACTGACTGTCGCGTGCGGATGTGCACTAGAACGCACCGGTACTGAGTGAGCAAATAAGACGTCAAAACAATACATCAGGTTGTGAAGGAATTGTATTCTAGGAGATGAAAGTCGAAGTTTGACCAAGGCGGACGGTTGGTCCGGCCTGGTGTGGATCCTTGAGGATGCTTCACCCCGGGATGCCACGGTGGATCCTTGAGGACGTTTTACCCCGGGATGCCACAGTTCGGCAGTAAGCCGGTATACTTTGCAGTTGATGTTTACAGTCCGAAGATGACTGTCTGGATCTCAAGGTCGGACTGCGACCTATCGTGAGGACATATCAGTCCATGGATGTACGAGCGGACTTTTGTTGAGGTGCTTGAATGAGTATGATTATTAATAACATATGTATCCTTTGTGTTGATCATTGGTGATTGTATATATCAATACAACCGTTGGAACTTAAGCATAGCGTTCGAGCTCTACCTTTTGAAAGCATTGAAGTAACTACTGTTTTACCCCTACTTGGCCTATTTCATCTTGGTACAACACACACATCAGCATGAAGCGCCTACGTATGTTACACTGACCCACCACTTTCCTTGCTCAATATCTCTTCCCTGAGCATATACAATTCTAATTGTATTTTCTTCTTGCACCTGTGGACTTTATCTTTGGATACACAGCCTCCAGCAGCGTCCGTGGCTAAGGCGTTGCGAGTCCGACTTGGAATTCCACCATACCGCGATCGAAACCTACTGCTGGCTGTGAGGATTTTTATCATGGTATGGGGCGTCGCAGGTCGACCCAGCCTAAAATGAGTACCAAGATGGGCTGTCCTGGGAAAGTAAAGGCGGCCAGCTACAATATGCCTATAGGTGTGAACAGGGATCTTTACTTCCTTTTTTTACTTCTACAGAGCCTCCACACAATCAGGTTTTGGATAAACAGCCTCCACACAATCAGGTTTTGGATAAACAGCCTCCACACAATCAGGTTTTGGATAAACAGCCTCCACACAATCAGGTTTTGGATACACAGTCTCCACACAATCAGGTTTTGGATAAACAGCCTCCACACAATCAGGTTTTGGATAAACAGCCTCCACACAATCAGGTTTTGGATAAACAGCCTCCACACAATCAGGTTTTGGATACACAGCCTTTGCACAAAATAATATTTTGGATACACAGTCTCCACACAATCAGGTTTTCCATACACAACCTCTGCATACACAAAACAAGTTTTGCATACACAGCCTCCAGACAACCAGTTTTTCTATAAACAACCACCACTCAAAGTTTCATATACACAGCTTCCACACAATCAGGTTGTGTATACACAGCCTCTATATAATCAGGTTTTGTATACACAGCCTCCACACAATCAGGTTTTGCATACACAGTCTCCACACAATCAGGTTGTGTATACACAACCTCCACACAAGTTTTATATTCACAGCCTCTACACAGACAGGTTTCATGTAGTATATAACCTCCATATAGGCAGGCTGTCTCATGTACATAACCTTCATACAGGCAGGTTGTTTCATGTACATAAAACTGCACATAGGCAAGCCACACAGGCAGGTTGTCTCATGTAACTCCACATAGGCAAGCCACACAGGCAGGTTGTTTCCTGTACATAAAACTCCACATAGGCAGACTGTTTCATGTACATAAAACTCCACATAGGCAAAACTCCACACAGGCAGGTTGTTTCATGTACATAAACTCCAGACAGGCAAACCGTTCCATGTACATAAACTCCAGGCAGGCAAACCTCCACACAGGCAGACTGTTTCATGTGAACAAAACTCCACATAGGCAAACCTCCACACAGGCAGACTGTTTCATGTACATAAACTCCAGACAGGCAAACCGTTCTATGTACATAAACTCCAGGCAGGCAAACCTCCACACAGGCAGACTGTTTCATGTACATAAAACTCCACATAGGCAAACCTCCACACAGGCAGACTGTTTCATGTACATAAACTCCCACACAGGGAGGTTTCATGTACACAACCTTGGCAAGCACTTTCCTGTAAGCAGACATGTCCACAAACACTACGACTAATGCCGCTGCTTCTTCCTCTTGCATCCGTGACAAAGATCACACTAACCCTGTATTCTATACAATGTTCCAGGAAAGAAAACCCCCAGGAGTGACATGACACCCTACCTGTGTAGCTAATGTCATCATATCGGAGACCAGGTAACAGAGCCAGAGCCTGGTGCTGATCTTTGTTCACTTCTATTCTCAGGTTCAAAGATGGATATGCTCTGGTTAAACCAAATATGAATTACATTCATCATAATTACAGTATGGGATTTTACAATGACTGTTTATAAAATCCTACAAACCCATACTCTAATTGTGAAACAATGTGAGCAGGTTTTGCTAGTCAAACTCACCACTGCCAGGACTGCGATGTCCATGTCTCCCTATCTTTTTACTTCTGCCCTTTATCCTCCAATGGAGCATAGGCCCTCAACTCAAAACAAGTCTATTCTCAGCTAATGTCCTGTAGCTTCCAGAGCAATGTCATTCAAGTTATACGGTGGCGCGGTGATTTATGTCACAGGCGTGAGGGGAAGTTAAGTCCAACATGATGTGTATAAGAAGATACTCCGTACGTCACTCGGGCGCCAGTCCTTCACTATCCTGGTTGTACGGAACCTCACGCAAGACCCCTACAGCACGTCCTCGTCGTGCGCCACGGATAATGTCTCAAATGAGCATTAACAGAGCTGTCAGGGGATCTCGGAGTTCGGCGGCCCCCAGAGGTGATGTGTCCTTGTGGCCCTCATCAGCCCGCCCCCAAACGCTTGGGTGAGAAATGTTATCAAAACTCATTAGGAACATGAGTAGGTTTGCCAAACATACAGCCAAAATTACAATCCTTGGTTAAAAGACTGCAGAGTAAAGAGAACATTGTTCACTGCACATCCTCGGTTAACCCTCAGTGTCGTCGTCACCGCGCTGAGGTACACCACAACAGCAACCATCCATAGGCTGACCATCCTTGTACATCCTCGGTTAACCCTCAGTGTCGTCGTCACCGCGCTGAGGTACACCACAACAGCAACCATCCATAGGCTGGCCATTCATGTACATCCTCGGTTAACCCTCAGTGTCGTCGTCACCGCGCTGAGGTACACCACAACAGCAAGCATCCATCGGATGGCTAAGCCTAAATGTCCGACAAAACTAGATCATACGGATCAAAATTTGTATTGAACTGAAAAAGACCGAATGTCCACACCCAAAGACCCCACTAGCCCGAGTGTAGGGACAAAACTGATAACAATATGCCTGATGCAGGATGTAAAATTCTATCGGGCTAGCGGCTCGTCAAAGAAATCTAACGTGCGAAGAAAAAAGAATGTACCTATCTGTGTGGTCACAAAAGTCCAAAACCCACGGGCTGCTCCCCGCTGACTTCCAGAGGGCACAGCCCCTGTCGAGCGGGAGGCCTGATACGGTTGTGAGGTTAAGCAGGCATGTGCAGGACGTGACGATTCCTTGGGTGAGCCCAGAACCAGAGCGCCATGTGCTGGCTCTGCATGCATGGAAGCCTCCTTGGATGGCGGGAAATGCCCATGATCTGCCCCTGCCTTCCCTTGAGGGCTAACTGTTCCACAGGAGGCTGCCCCAAAGGGGTACTCCGGGGGCGATACCTGCGGCGAAGGAGACAAAGTGGACACGACACAAATCAGGCAACGTCTCGACACACACAAAACAATGGCCACAGTCACCCTAGAAATAGGCCTGACGTCTTTCTTCGAAGTCGGAGTACAGCTGCCCATGAGGCAGGGAAATGAAAAACGGTTGTACACGCAAAAATCAGGTCCAGGTGAAAGCCAAAAGTCCAAGCGGGCGATTAACCTGGACCTTCCACTGGAATTCACAGCCGGTGATCGATTAAAAAATAAAAAAAAATTCAAGTTATACTGTTTTCAGGTTTTCTCAATGTGTGTCTTATCTAAATGCAGGCACCATGATTACACCACTTCGTCGACTGGAAGTTTCTTCTACAAAACTAACATTTGTGATTCTATCATGTCAATTATTCCCTCTATTTCGTGCAGTGTTTGTAGTTTATTATCTGTTTTAGTTATTGTTTCCACTCCTTACAGAAATACTTATTTGTCCAAAACTTTCATATCTAACAATTTCAATTTCTTCCTATAACATAATATAATATCTGGAAAAAAAAAGTGATTAATAATATAGCGCATACTGTGAAACAAGCAACAAAATGCCTTGAGGTTTCATATATGTTTTTTTTTTTCCCCACAATAATATTTACACATCCTTGGACGAGTCAAAACTAAGCAAACAAAGTATCGAGAGGTAAAGAATCAAATACAACCTCCCACAAACATCAAAAAGATGTTTTTGATGGGACAGGTAGAAAGATTCCAGGAGGAAGAAAGGTGAGATGACGAGTGAAAATTCTTAGCTACCTTTCATCACGGGATGGAAGAAGGTCATCACAGAAACTGATGAATGTTGTTAAAGAAATCTTGCATCACAAGAACGCATACTCGCATACCGTCAAACTCAAGCAATAATAATCATTTTTATATCTTATTTTCAAGTCACATTCCTTATGTCATCACAGCATACATTTTAGTAAGATGCTTACACAAGAAACTTGTCACAAAAATTTAAACTACGTATTGTAAATTCGAAGCTCACATATCGGACGATATATCCCGTCAACTTTTCACGACAGTAGAGTTCATAAACACGGGATTCTCCACTTTTCTTCTGCCTTTTTGCATTGCGACATGTTACCTAAACCGATTGACAAGGCCTCTATAAGAGAAATGGTACAAGAACAGTGTGAAATATGAAAATAAAGACCAAATACTGAATAAATATTTACCGTAACAAGTGGTTGATCCTGCTGCGAAACATTGCAAGTCTGCTAGAAATGGGAGCTGCATGTTCCACTTGTGAAAACTTTCAGTCTGGAGAGCTACTCTCGCGATTATGGGGTAAAAGTACTAAAAGAGAGGATTACATTGTTTAAGGTCAATCTACATTATTTGGTCATGTATATCGTGGCGGCAGGAAAGTTTAAGGGAAGGAGCGGCAGAGGAAGACGGAGAGAACCGATGCTGGACAGTTTGACATCATAGCATGGAAGATCATCTGTGTCAGAGTTGACTAAAAGTACACTATACAGAAGGTTGTCGATAAACAAGACTACCAACGCCCCACAAAGAATGACCCACAAAGAATGTCAACCAGAAAGGTAAACATAGCTCATAAATATTTATGGAGAGAGGGAGGAGGAGGCAAAAGAGGGACAACACTAAAATTGGGAGAATAATATTCTAGAGATGGTACACATGCAATGTCACAGTGGACTACAAGTTACTTGGCAAACATATGGGTGCCCTGATATAAGTAAACTTATTATGCGGCTGAATTTCCTGTATCGGTTTAGGAAAAAAAAGAGGGGGTCTGACCGACGCCTTCGGGCTGACGCACAACAGTCATGTCGTAAAAGAGACGATACATGTTTGTGTGTTTTCTTCATGTCGGATGATAAAGGTAAAGGTAATTGATTAGAAGCGTAATGACAATCAACAATCATAAGTAAATATACAGCTATAAATATAATAAATATACAATTTAAAGAAATGGAAATTATACTCAAAAATCTAATTTAACGGTGTTAAATATACTGGGTTATAATAAAGATAATTAACATACACAGAAGTGTCAGAAAAGTAAATGCTAATTATTGTCATACAAGCATAAAAGTATAATAGTAGATAATCAATCCTCAAAAGTAATGAACGTAGTCAACCATGAAAGGTGTAATATGCGTAGATAATCAACCCTCGAAGGTGTAATATACATAGATAATCAACCTTCAAAGGTGTAATATACGTAGACAATCAACCCTTAAAGGTGTATTATATTGCCCGGCTCTCTAGCGAAGTTGGTTAAACCTGATTTTCGCGGCGGCCGGGTGACGAACTCCTTGTGGTCCGGGTTCACTCCCGGGGGTAGGCAGAAAAGCCACATTTCTCCCAGATTAACGGTACCTATAATGGAATCAATGCCGAAGGGTTGCGATATCCATAGTACCGAGCCAAAGGGTTTACAACCCATGGTTTCTGGATACGTAAAAAAAAAAAAAAAGTAGATAATCAACCTTCAAAAGTAATAAACGTAGATAATCAACTTTCAAATGTGTAATATACGTAGACAATCAACCCTCAAAGGTGTAATATACGTAGATCATCAACCCTTAAAGGTGTATTATACGTAGATAATCAACCCTCAAAAGTAATAAACGTAGATAATCAACTTTCAAATGTGTAATACACGTAGATAATCAACCCGCAAAGGTGTAATATACGTCGATAATCAACCCTCATAATGTAAAGACGAAATACATAGAGCACATTAAGTTAACAGAACCTCTAACAATGCGGTTCATATGAAAACATTGATACGTCATGTAAAAGAGAAGGGGAGGGAGAGAGAGAGAATAATAGACAGGAATGGCTATACATATAAGTGTTATATAGTACAATTACAAACGAGCAAGCTGGGGTTGCTTGTGCAGCGTCCTGGAAAAGATATGAAACTAACCTTTTAGTGATTTAATTAATCATGCTAACATTTTGTAAACGAGTCGATACAAAATAGATGTAAATAATATTCCGACGGCCGCTTGTACTTTCCATAACATTTTCCACGTAATTACTTTAGGCTGGAACCACCGAAGAGTCGATCAATTTTTTTAGAAGTCCGCTTACATCTGGATTTAAACCTACGACAGCCACACCGCCGGAGGAAAGTACTTGCCACTGCGACACCGAGGCTACAGAAAAGGCAATCATAACTTAACAAATAACCATCTCGTCAGGAGGAAGATAAAAGCAGGACTTAAAACATAGCAGTAGATAGGCAGACAAATACAGCAGTAGATAAGCCGACCTTTAATATAGCAGTAGATAAGCAAACAAATATAGCTGCAGATAAGCAGACTAATATAGCAGTACATTTTTATTTTAACGTATCCAGAAACCATGAGTTGTAAACCCTTTGGCTCGGTACTATGGATATCGCAACCCTTCGGCGTTGATTCCATTATAGGTACCGTTAATCTGGGAGAAATGTGGCTTTTCTGCCTACCCCCGGGAGTGAACCCGGACCACAAGGAGTTCGTCACCCGGCCGCCGCGAAAGTCAGGTTTAACCAACTTCGCTAGAGAGCCGGGCATAGCAGTACATAAGCAGACAGATACAGCAGTAGATAAGCAGACCCTAAATATAGCAGTAGATAAGCAGACCTTAAATATAGCAGTATATAGACAGACAAATATAACAGCAGATGAGCAGACAAATATAGCAGTATATAGACAGACAAATATAGCAGCAGATAAGCAGACAAATATAGCAGTATATAGGCAGACAAATATAGCAGCAGATTAGCAGACTAATATCGCAGCAGATAAGCAGACAAATAAAGCAATAGATAAGCAGACAAATAAAGCAATACATTAGCAGACAGATACAGCAGTAGATAAGCAGACCGATGCAGCAGCAGATAAGCAGACAAATATAGCAGTATATAGGCAGACAAATATAGCAGCAGATAAGGAGACATATATAGCAGCAGATAAGCAGACAAAAATAGCAGCAGATAACCAGACTAATATTGCAGCAGATAAGCAGACAAATAAATCAATAGATAAGCAGACAAATATAGCAGTAGATAAGCAGACAAATACAGCAGCAGAAAAGTAGACACAGCAGCAGACACAGCAGCAAAAAAACAGACAAATATAGCAGCAGATAAGCAGACTAATATAGCAGTACATAAGCAGACAGATACAGCAGTAGATAAGCAGACTAATGCAGCAGCAGATAAAGAGACATAGCAGCAAATAAGCAGATAGATAAGCAGACAAATATAGCGGCAGATATGCAAATATAGCAGCAGATGAGCAGACACATACAGCAGCAGATAACCAGACAAATGTAAAACAGCACATAAGCAGACAAATATAGCAGTAGATAAGCAGGCAAATATAGCAGTAGATAAGCAGACTAATATAGCAGTAGATAAGCAGACAAACGTAGCAGTAGATAAGCAGGCTAATACAGCAGCAGATAAGCAGACAAATATAATAGCACAAAAGCAATCAAATATAGCAGCATATTAGCAGACAATTAAAGCAGCTGATAAGCGGACAAATAGAGCAGTAGATGGCAGACAAATATAGCAGCATATAAGCAGACAAATAAAGCAGTAGATAGCAGACAAATATAGCAGTAGATAAGCAGACAAATATAGCTGTAGATAGCAGACAAATATAGCAGCAGATAAGCAGACAAATATAGCATTAGACAGCAGACAAATTAAACAGTAGAAAGCAGACAAATATAGCAGTAGATAGCAGACAAATATATCAGTAGCGTGGGCTGTCCTCCGAATGGCGACCACATATTATGGCAGCCAAGAAAAAACCCTAACAAGACCTCAGGCATATGAAAATTGCAGACCTCTTTCCGGCGACTATTCGGCTACCTGCTGCGCGGGGGTGGCTAAACTAGATAGCTGAGACTCACGAGCATGAGCAACCGCATCTCTTGACTTGATGTTGAAACAAAAAATGATAAACTGGGACTCTTCAAAGTAACCTAGGGTCTTCTTTATAATAGAGTCCGTTTTTTGTGAGCGTGTTCAATTGACTTTCTTGTTGTGGCACGTTGGTGCGGCTGACCATTTCTTCTTGGTGAATTTCTGCTGCAGTGGCTGGTTGGGAAGGGAAATTCTAAAAGTCCTGAAAAGGGCAATTAGGAGGTGCCTGGGACGGCCTGGATCGGGTGGGCGGGAGTAGTCTGGTGGTGGGTGCAACCGCATCTCCTGCAGTTTCCTCTTTTTATTTGATCGCGAGGCCCAGCGGCGCGTTGGATAGTCTCGGTGGAAGTCCGCATTTTACATATAATTGAGGCCCTGTTAGGATTTTTTTTTTGGGAGGGGGGGGGGGCCATAATATGTGGCCGTTTTTCGGATAGACGTTGAGTATAAAGCCACCTAGGTTTACATATATATGGCAACAACATGTACCGAATATTGGAAACTGGATGAACAAATAGACATCCCGTGAGGCCAATGACTGGGACAGCTTACAGCATAAGATAAACCTAGTTAGAAAGATAAATCACTCCCATCCTATGCTACCAGTGCCAGACGGTCGCTCATCTCCCCCCCCCCCCCCCCCAACCACACATACAAATTAATTATATGAAAATGATAGAAGAGCTGCAGGAGTGACCAAAAAGATAGGTCGAGGATACAAATGTATTATAAATTTTAACGCGTGTTATTTTCATATAATAACGTTTGTCAATTCAAGTAATGAGGACCACACTCGTCGGCCATGAAACAGTTTTGTGTCCGGAGGTGGCGTCAACCCTGTACTGGGCCGAAAGGATCTAGCACAATGAGGACAGGCAACAGTGTCTGTAGGTAAAGAGCCTGTACCACGGTTTTTTTTTTTAGACCGCCCGCGCTACTAAGTTGCCCTTTTTCTTGAAGCCTCACAGGTCGCTGCTCCTCTTCCGATAGATGTTGGCAATGAACTGGTTAAAGGTGAGGACGAGCAACATAGACACATATTGTGAGTATGGTTGACAGGGTGCCGCATGTTCGTTCTTTATAGGATGCCGTTGACAGTAGAGGCTAGGCTAATATGAAATACCGGTACAAACAAATTGGGCTATCCTCCGAATAACGGTCCCAAATTATCGAGGCCGAAAATATACCCTAACAGAGCCTCAGTCACCTGTCAATTTCGACTTTCGGGGACTATACCACCACCGCCGAGAGTATCTCCCACGCCGCTACGTGCGTTGTGGATTGGGGCTTAACTAGATGGCTGGGAC